CTTGATCTTGTGGTTAACAATAGATGGTGGTCAGGCCAGCTAGTTACTGTTTCCTCTCCCTTTATGGAGCCTCCTAGGTCAGGCTACAAGGCCACTGGACCTGCATACCTCAAAGAGGGAATCTGTCTTTGCTGTTGTCAGCAGCAACTTCCCTTTTCTATACTGTGGCAATGTGCTCCATGGTGGTAAGAAAGAGCATTGATGGTATCTTTCTGCAGCTGATATCCTTTCAATGTGAAAATTGGAGGCAAATGAAAGAGTATTTTTCCAAAACTGACAAAGGTCAGTGAGGAAGTATTGTACACTTTCTTCTTAGCTTGTTTGTATAAATCCTGTATTGCCATTGATCAAAACAATAAAGTATGCATGTATTTTCAGGGAGGAGAACTCCATAAGTAAGGAGACAATAGATATCAGACTGTGAATAATGCATACAATCCATATATTTAATGCAGTATGAGACTGGGCCTAAAACCTCATCTAGATAAGCATCAGAATTGCAGAGCAATACCCCGAAGCTCACTGGTTATATAAAGCGGTTCACTTGCATCAAATATGCACCAGATTACTTATATGGTATACAGTGGGGAGAACAAGTATTTGATACACTGCCGATTTTGCAGGTTTTCCTACTTACAAAGCATGTAGAGGTCTGTAATTTTTATCATAGGTACACTTCAACTGTGAGAGACGGAATCTAAAAATCCAAAAAATCCAGAAAATCACATTGTATGATTTTTAAGTAATTAATTTGCATTTTATTGCATGACATAAGTATTTGATCACCTACCAACCAGTAAGAATTCCGGCTCTCACAGACCTGTTAGTTTTTCTTTAAGAAGCACTCCTGTTCTCCACTCATTACCTGTATTAACTGCACCTGTTTGAACTCGTTACCTGTATAAAATACACATGTCCACACACTCAATCAAACAGACTCCAACCTCTCCACAATGGCCAAGACCAGAGAGCTGTGTAAGGACATCAGGGATAAAATTGTAGACCTGCACAAGGCTGGGATGGGCTACAGGACAATAGGCAAGCAGCTTGGTGAGAAGGCAACAACTTTTGGCGCAATTATTAGAAAATGGAAGAAGTTCAAGATGACGGTCAATCACCCTCGATCTGGGGCTCCATGCAAGATTTCACCTCGTGCAGGGTGGCACGTGGCTGCCAGATGCATTCACTGAAGTCTGGTTCTCAGTATAAAAGATTAATCTCAGGAGAGCGAGAGAGAGAGAGAAAGGTAGGGTTAATGCCTGTTAATTTAGCCTAAATTGGATATCAATTTGGGGAGTGTTTCTGCGAGCAGCCTCATCGGAGTATTTCGATTTATTGATTTATGAGTTAAGTTGAAACTGCACCATGGGAAAAAGGGCCTCGTTCTGTTCATATGGGAATCGATACTACAACTCTAAATGTTGAGAAACGTGAGAGAGAGAGAGAGAGAGAGAGCGAGAGAGAGAGAGAGAGAGAGAGAGAGAGATGTTGGAACATTACACAAGGTTACTGCCTAAAGTCTCTGTGATTTAATTTAGGATCACTTTTACCAGATAACAGGCAACAGCCTCTGTTTCCTAAGTGGGAAAACAAGACAAAGGAATAAGAAGGGGAATGAAATAAAGGATTTATTCACAATACCGTATTGCTATTGCATTATATATCAATCACAGTGTATTACTCCTGGGTTATTCAAATATCTGCACCGTTGATATATCAAACCATCTTAGTTCATCATTTCACCTGTCAGTTTTCATGTGAGCGTCGAGGGGAAATAACATTAAATGTATCTATAATATCAATGTGTCACCATAAATATTCATTTTCGATAAGTTATTCCATTCAGGGTCAGATAAAAGCTTGAAATAATATGAGAGAAATCTCATCTAATGACTTTCACAGCTGTGGATGAAATATTAAACAGAGGCCTCCAGGGCACAATAGCTATGTGATTGTTAATAAAAACATTTTAAGTGAAGTTGATTGCTTTAAGAAAGAGGGAGAGAGCAAAATAATTGGATTGCATTATGGTGCATAGGTTTGCATTATGTGTATTGGACTGTATTACTGATGCATTGGAATGAATGCAAGTGTTGCATTAGCTAGAATGAATGGGCCTAAACATAGATACACTAAAAAGACAATGACCAATATAGACATATCACCTGCAAACTTTGAAACGGAGTGGACTGCCTATTTCTGTCACATTTTAAACACAGTATATTTTATGAAGGCTACATAAACTATTCATAAACTCTTCATAGATGCTTCATTTGACCTTCATTTGAAATGAAAGACAATGGACTGTCTGTTATGTAGGCCTACCATTTATGAGTATTGGGGTTTACTTCCAGGCTGTCCAAGTCTTGAAGAATCCCCAGTCTAGACTATCCTTTACCGCTGCAGCCATCTATCTCAGAGACAGTCTTCTGACCCAAGGTCATTCTATTTTTGATCTTCTATTGTCACCAGGCTTGTTCAAATGTACCTCACTCTCTAGAGAAAGAGAGAGAGCGAGAGAAAATAAGAAAAGTCTGCTGTTATACAGATACATTTTCTCTATGGTCGGAATGCAATAGGTCCATTTATAGTGCTTTCAGAAATGTAATCTAGCTTGGCGGTGGAGAAATGTAGCCTGCCTTGGCTTCAGGTGATTCTGATAGCAGACTGATAACAGGTAAAGCCCTAGACGTTCTGCTGAGCATCCTGAACAGTGTTCACTCCCAACTCTTTCCTTTCTGCTGTCTGTGTGTGGCGATGACAATGCAGCCAGGGAGATTTGCCCACCTCCTTTCTGCCAATTTCCTCCCAGGCTGATGAGATGCTTAAGCAATGTTAACAGAATACAGAACGATGGGTGGAGAAGAGTGGGAATTACAAAATGCTGAGCAGCAATTTCCTTTACAGCATTCCTTAGGCGGGCTCTTGGACCCTAAACACATTGACTCTCTCCCTGAGGGTGGAATAGGGTTAGATATGAATGTAAATGGACTGAAAAAAGAGACTGCTGAGTCCACACACAGATGGTTGTTTCAAGCTGGCACTGGCAGGGTGGCACGTGGCTGCCTTGGCACGCCGCAGCATCTGGCACGGGTGGCATGGAGGAAAGCACACCCCGCCAGAGTTGGTTTATCTCACCACCCAGCATTCAGGAAGACAATAGCTGTGGAAATGCAGTTTCCGCCTCCCCGCCCTCCCCTGCTGGGGTGTTGGTTTCGGACGTGCATGGGGAGGGAGGGTTAGGGTTTTATGGTAATCTCATTCTGTGGTTGACAGATTTACTCTGGGCTGGGTGGTCGCTGGGAAGAGAAGAGAGCGTCTTTCACTAAACAAATGAGAGGTTTTACTGACTAACTGACAGGCCGGTTCCTGTGGCAGCACAGCTCTCACTAAACTAAAGCACACTTGAATGAATCGATTGACTTCCCACCTTCTCTGGCTAACAATCACTTCCCAAATATAGTTGTCAGACTGCAATCTCTATGTGATTATGTAATTGGTTTTAAGCTTAGTGTTCTTCTCAGGAACAATGATGGTGATTATGTAACAGACAAATTACATGGCTGCCTAGAGGATGATGGAGGAGAAGCCTGGATGCAGCCTGAAGCCCAGAACCAAGGATTACAGCAAACTCAAGAATAGGTTTTGATTACATTACGAAAATGGCGAAAAATAAACAATGTTATTTTGAAGTAAGTGATATTGAACTTACTGATCTTTTCTATTGATCTCTTTAGTTTTGAGTAGTTGTCGGTATCGGCAAGATGTTAATAAAGTAGAAAGTTAATGACTGTTTATTTTCTTTTAAGGAAAAAGGCTGAATTTAGAAATAGACAACCAAATCCAATCCAGAATGAAGAGATAACCAGTGTTCCCAGACAATTGACAGCATCCTTAACTGGGCCATGCTAAATCTTTATAACAACCACAGATATGTAGGCCTATTTTATAGCACAACATATCTACCAGAATTGAAAAGTAACAGAGAATAGGATGGTATCAGTGTTAGTCACAGCTCTAGATTCTCCTGTAAATGTCCTGAAACCAGTGTGTGTTCCTGTTCTACACACAGAGCCACCTCATCCTCCCCTGGATCTGTGTTGTTCCTACCGCAACACAACTCATTACTGGGGCTCACTGTCTGCACACCACTGTGTACCCATATTGTGTGGAGATCCTGCAAAGTCCCCATAATCTGGCACCGATTTTCCATTAAAGCAGCCAAAGCTTAACCACATTGAGACATGTCTAGGGATCCACAATTAAAACACACACACACATGCAAGCAGTGGCACACACACTCACACACACACACACACACACACACACACACACAGCCAGACAAAATAATCTAAAAAGAGGTGATCCAGAATACATTGTTGTTCCTCTGATTCAAACTACTACTTATATTGTGACACAGACATAAAGGCTATTGATATTTACAGCCATGACCATAAGGAGGCATTACAATAAACCCTCCATGAGTCTCCTGCAAGCTCATAGAAAACAGAATAGAACATTTTATAAATACTTCTAAGTTAATTCCTTGCATTCAAAATTGCTGCCAGAGCCAAGACAGTATAAGAATTTTGAAGGTCTGTCCAGTGCTTGGCTGAGGCTCCAATCGAGAGGAAGGACTTCGAGTGGGATTAGAGGGACATTGGGCTCATCCAGACCCTTCAGAAGGACATAATGGTGCAATAGTCTCCAGCAGAGGGGCATCATTAACTCACCACAGACAGAAGTGCTGCTGGGCTGAGGCTGACAGCTGAGAGGGAGCAGAAGAGTTGCAGTGATTAACTGGGGCCAAAGTTCAATACTACTGTCGGTCATTGAGAAAAAAACATTATGCTTGGTTTTACAATCCACTATCTATATTAGACCAATGTTAAAATGGTAATGACATAATAGCTTCTTTTGGTGTCTTTGGATTTAATGAAACATGATGAACAATGAATTCAGGGATTTTTTGGGGTTTTCTAAGGGAAGAAGTGTTGAATATGAGTAGGAGCAAGAAGGTGGTGTCATACGAGTGAGTCACTATGAGAGAGACTGAAAACAATCACACACAGTGCATACATCACATTTCACACTTTATCTTAAAGACATGGTAATGGTGTTATTGTGTGAATGATTTATGACAGACACACACAGTCACAGACACACATGCTGCAAGCAAAGCGACAGACATGCAGCAGACGCATTCTCTTTTGCACACACTCAATGCTGATAAAGCGGATTCAGCAGCAGTGGGCTTTTACCTCACATCCTCAATCAAACATACACACACACACACACAGCGACACCATTCCTTCGCATGCCTTCACACAGAGATAAGCCTCTCAAGTGAGAAAGACTGAGCTGATCAAACACCTCACAAACTCACAAACACACCCTGCCTGTCGCTTCACCACGACCTCTTCTCAGATTACTGCTTTCTGATGCAATTATCGCCCATACAGTGGGGATTATGTGTTCACTTTTGTTTCCCAGTGATCTGTGTCTGCCATCATTCTAATGTGTCCTCTCTGTGCACCCTATTCTCTGGAGTATCCTAACAATGACTAGCTGACCTTGTCTCTATTTAGCTGCTTCCACTCTCTGACGCTAACCCACAGGCGTTACCCGACAGGGAAGGGATTGGAACATGGGGAAATGATTCCCATCGGATGTAAAGGAATACGAATGGGAGATTATGGTTCACTGCTGTGGAAAATGGTGAGAGTGAGGAAGGGGCATTATCCGCTTTGCACTGTTTGGACTGTTTTTCCAGTCTTTGTATTATGGATCAATCATTAAAAGTACTAGCTGTAATAGCACAAGAACTGCCCAGTTCAGCATTTGCTGAATTAAGACTGGCAAAAAGATGACTACTTGTGCAAGAAATGATATTGTCTTTTGAAAATGCTTCCACAACACTTTGAAAGTCACCTATCTTCAAGTATTTTTATGAAATAATATTGATTACTTGAATCTTCTCTTTGTGCCAGACTGGGTTAAAATGATTTCCGTTTCATTTTTCTGTATTTATTTATCTGTACATTTATGCGGTGCACACTGCAGAGAACACCGGAAGAATTATCACTGAATTATCACAGTGAATTATTGTAATGTTTATGTGTCAATTAATCCCATAAGGGATGGTTTGCCAACTGGCGATTTGACACGAAAATAAAATGTCATTCATTCATTCAGTCATTCAGATAGGGTGATGGGGAACTCGTAACGCTAACAATGCTGTGTGTGTGTGTGTGTGTGTGTGTGTGTGTGTGTGTGTGTGTGTGTGTGAATGAACAGGGAGGGGGAATCAGTATACAAAACCATGCTAGAGCTGTCACAAGCCAAGCCAAAATTGGATTAGGGAAAAAAAAGGAAGAGGGAAAAATTGGAAGAAGGAAACGGCTACTTTTTTTCTCCCCCTTGCAATAATTTCATTTCAAATTCAGGGCAATGTACGCATAAACACACTGTTATAGAGACGGGTAAAGTTAATGGAATATTTATATGCAGACTCCAGGATCTTTCTTTCTTTTTCTCAGCAGTCTGTTTTTTCCTTCGTTTTACCTCTGCCTTTGTTAGGCTTTGACACCATTTCTGCACCTCCAAGAGGACTGTGGTTCCATTGGCGGCTGTTGAAAAATCCTAGTAGAGAGCGCGGAAATGGGAGCTGTGATTTGTCAGGGACTATTAGCTTCTCACCACACCGACTCACATAGAAATCAATGCAAAGGAATAACGGACCGCCCCACACCATGCTTTCTAAACTGTGCAGGAAGATTCAATAAGCTAATGCAGAGAGGGAGGGAACATTGTTGTGCTGGGAAAGCGATGACGGAGGAGATTGAGAGATGGAAGCCGGATAGACTCTTATTAAGTATTCAACTACATGGCACAATAGTTACAGCACATACAGCACTGTAGCTGAGATTTCCATTTGCCCCATACTGTGAATCATCCACACAGCTATTGTGCAGTCATGGCCCAGTTATACTACAGGATTTACAATTTCATCAGGGGCCAGTGGCAGTGGCAGTATGGAAACGGAGTGTTAGGCTGTACTGTTACTGTCGTGATGTGGCATCTGATAAGTTCAAGTTTAACACAGTGGAAATGTTTTAATAAGACCCCCACCTTTAGCCTATGTGTTTTTATCTGCATGCAAATTACAATAGTGGCATCAAATGTTGATATATGGTCACTATTTCAATGGAGCAGACCATTTATGCAGCCAAGTTGGGTGTGCTGAATCAGGTATTCACTATGCATGGTCTCCACCTAGCACCCTCATGATCAAATCATCCTCCAGTTAAGCTGGCTGAGGCTGATAACTCCTTCTAAGATAACAAGCATTGAGTGCAGATGACAGGATCAGCGTGTGGTGTTGCACACTACCATTTCAGATATCATTTCAATGGACTGGGCTGCTTTTCAGAAACTATAGTCCTTTTACACAAGTACTACCTGATGTAATATAGCTGAAATCAAAGCAAAATCACATGAGTCATTTCCCCTTTAAAATAATTGCCTTAGGCATCTGTGTGGAGAGATCCTTCTTGGCGCCAACAGCACATTGTTATATTCTTCCATTTCCCAGCTTAGAGACAGCAACAGACCTCCTGGGTCGCTCCTGCACAGTTGTACAGAGGCCATTAAATAAGACAGTAACACCTGGAAGAAAGGGAGAGGCAGCGAGAGAGAGAGAGAGAGAGAGAGAGAGAGAGAGAAAGAAAGGGGGGAAATCAAGCTCTGGCAGGAAATGTGGTAGAGGAAGCTTATTATCACACAAAATAAAATAACTACCTCTGGTTCAACACACACCTGTCATATTGTTGTAGAGAGTGGGGGAGGAGGGGCCATTTGTGGTTGGAATAAGTGAAGTAATCTTGTTGAAGAAGTATCACCATGTACCGGAGGATGTGGCTGGCATTATAAGGGCTAATTTCCCTCATTGATTCAGTAAACAATTTGTTAGCCTACATTTGGTTACAGTGCGTGAATAATACTTAAGATCCCTAATTAAAACGCATTTGTCTTTGAGTTTCCTCTTTGTAATAACAGGTAGGCCTAGAAGATCTGTAGGTTATGATGAGAATGGTTGGCAGAGCAGACAGAACTTCTGTGATCAAACAAGTTGGCCTAAGATTATCATAGACAGGAGGATGAAGGATGTGAAGTAATTAGGTGCAGCTACTACGGAAAATCGTGCAAGCAATGGCGAATGGAGGTTCACTTACAGTGGTGGTAGTCAGTGATGGGTCGTTCGCGAACGAACGGCTCTTTTTGAAAATTATATTTTTGGTGAACGTCGGGAGCCGAGTCGCTTCGGAGAAAGAGCAGTTAATTTGGCTCCCTGATTTGCATACTGCACTGCTTTTTGAGCGCAAAACAACGTTTTTCGGCAGATACTGTAAGTTTTTCTCTAAAGAGTGTGACTCCACACTGCAGAAACAAATAGTGGGAGAGCGTGTCAATCTGGTCCATGCTTCATTTTTTTTGCAAGCCATATAATAATTTGGCCAGGTAAAAATGTATTTGAACGCGCATTTCACGATCTGACATAATGGTAGCCTACCTTTTGTGCTTTATATTGGATATTTGCAATTTGTTTCATGGTTATAGGTAGATTTTTAAGCATTTTGAACGAAGAGCCGTTTGGGAACCAAATGAGCCGGCTCTTTTACGTGAACGGAGCCAAATGAGCCGGCTCACCAAAAATACTCGGAATGCCCATCAGTTGCGGTAGTATAGTTTCTCTCTCTGGTGATGTCCATTGATGTTCTCATTTGAAGGGAGAGCGTTGTAACGGTGCCCCCTAGCGAATATTTAGAGAAAAGTAGATGAGCGCATTAAAATTCACTCAGTTGTCGGTTCAGCCTATTCTGTCTGTGTGTTGTGTTACAGACCCACGTAATTTATGCCTATCACAGGAGGCTGCTGAGGGGAAAACGGCTCATAATAATGTCCGGAACGACGCAAATGGAATGGCATCAAACACATGGAAACAATGTGTTTGATGCATTTGATACCATTCCACTGATTACCTGAGGGCTATAGAAACTTATTAAAGGCAAGCATACTATCATCATCAAGACAATGTTCACACTCACAGGGCTTTCTCAATCCTACTTGCAACAGGAGAGATTTTCCAGGGGATTCTGTCATTTCATTATTTTGGATAAAAAAACGACTACAGGTTACACTTGAACTTCTAAAACCTGGTATATATATATATTTATATATCTTTAAATATCTTCCATTTGTCCTGCCTGCAAATTGATTTTGATGAACAAATCAAACCCCCCAAAAATCCATTGAATCCATGACCTTGGCCTATTTTATTTATTTGTATTTTATTTCACCTTTATTTAACCAGGTAAGCCAGTTGAGAACAAGTTCTCATTTACAACTGCGACCTGGCCAAGATAAAACAAAGCAGTGCGATAACAACAACAACAACAACAACACAGAGTTACATATGGGATAAACAGTCCCTCTGTGGTATGTAATAGAGCCTACTGATTAAAAATATATATGTATTTGTGACAATGGACCTCCTAGTCCACAGCCCTATATGTACAACTAGACAGTATATTGATTTATTAAAACATTTAGACTTATATCACAGGGGGGACATGCCTTCTTGAGAGATTCCCCTCAATAAGCTCACACACATTTCCTTTTGGCATTCATAACCAAGATCCAAACCCATACTTACAGCACAGTACACACACACATTGCCTGTTATGTCTTCAGCGAGTTATAAAGTCACCACTATTCCTTTTTCTTTGGTACCTGCCAGAAACATGCCTTGGCGCTCTTATTTTAGGCCCTGCCACCCATTGATCTGACAGAGAAGTGTCTGAAGAGGGTCAGTGTCATGAGCAGCTGTTTGGCCAGTCAGAGCAGCGAGCAGCATTTTGGCATTCGCTCCCGCAGTTGGACCAGCGAATTACATACCATTGAGGGACTGCAGGTAAGGGACCCATTTTTTCACCCTCTTCTTCTGCTTTTTCATTTGGAAAACCTTTGCTATATTATGGGGAAACATTTGTGTTAGCAGGCTAAATGCTGTGGAACCTAGATTCTGGACAATTCTAGGTCTGAGGTGCCATAGACTAGAGGCAATACTGTGCAGTGTAGTGTCTTATTTAAAGATTAGTCTTTAAAGGATCATCTTGTGCTATTGTAAAAGTCTTCTGATCCACACTGACAAAAGAGTATTGTGTAACAGTGTGTAGAGGTAGGGAGGTGTTTGAGGAGGTTACCTGGCACTCAAACCTCATGGTAAGTGTGTAAAGTAAGTCATTGTGCCTGTAATGTGCGCATGATTTGTGTGCATGTGAAAATTTGTTTGTGATATACAGTTGAAGTCGGAAGTTTACATACACTTAGGTTGGAGTCATTAAAACTCGTTTTTCAACCACTCCACAAATTTCTTGTTAACAAACTATCGTTTTTGCAAGTCGGTTAGGACATCTACTTTGTGCATGACACAAGTAATTTTTCCAACAATTGTTTACAGACAGATTAATTCACTTATAATTCACTGTATCACAATTCCAGTGGGTCAGAAGTTTACATACACTAAGTTGACGGTGCCTTTAAACAGCTTGGAAAATTCCAGAAAATTATGTCATGGCTTTAGAAGCTTCTGATAGGCTAATTGACATAATTTGAGTCAATTGGAGGGTGGCAGCATCATGCTGTGGTGGTGCTTTGCTGCAAGAGGGACTTGTGCACTTCACAAAATAGATGGCATCATGAGGAAGGAAAATTATGTGGATATATTGAAGCAACATCTCAAGACATCAGTCAGGAAGTTAAAGCTTGGTCGCAAATGGGTCTTCCAAATGGACAATGACCCCAAGCATACTTCCAAAGTTGTGGCAAAATGACTTAAGGACAACAAAGTCAAGGTATTGTAGTGGCCATCACAAAGCACTGACCTCAAGCCTATAGAAAATGTGTGGGCAGAACAGAAAAAGCATGAGCGAGCAAGGAGGCCTACAAACCTGACTCAGTTACTCCAGCTCTGTCAGGAGGAATGGGCCAAAATTCACCCAACTTATTGTGGGAAGCTTGTGGAAGGCTACCCGAAATGTTTGACCCAAATTAAACAATTTAAAGGCAATGCTACCAAATACTAATTGAGTGTATGTCAACTTCTGACCCACTGGGAATGTGATGAAAGAAATAAAAGCTGAAATAAATCATTCTCTCTACTATTATTCTGACATTTCACATTCTTAAAATAAAGTGGTGATCATAACTGACCTAAGACAGGGAATTTTTACTAGGATTAAAGGTCAGGAATTGTGAAAATCTGAGTTTAAATGTATTTGGCAAAGGTGTATGTAAACTTCCGACTTCAACTGTAGGGGTGAGATTGATTTTCTCCTTTTTACTCATCGGTTAAATACTACATGTGAAATGCAAGTACTGCACATGTAGAGTAGAGCTGTGAGTAGAGCAAGATTCCAAAGGGGAGAATCTTGCTCTGTCTGAAAACGTCATTCCCAAAAGGGATGATTTATTGATTTTGGAAAATATTTGTGACAATGAATAATGAGGCACTTCATAGCGCCTGGTATGCTCATAACATAGTTTTTAACATCAAGTTCATCCTATATGCAAAATGACTCAGACTGCAGGTGTTTTACACTTCTTCTTTCCTTCCCCTTCCTCAGTAAAGCAGTTAACTTGGCAGAAATCTGGAGGTTCCCAACCCCCTTAAGATGTACGGCCTGTACTTGGAAGCGGTGAATGATTATATCAACGAGTCCTACGGAGAGGATGTATGGAGACTGATAGAGGCCCGGGCAGAGATACCGCATCTCAAGTTTGTCCGCCATCAGATGTACAAGTATGGTCATATCCCATCTAACTGTCGGGTCTAACTACATCTCTGTACCCATCATATGCGTCATATTTACTTTCTATTCTAATTTTACCAGGAAGGGAAGTCACTTGAGGTTTCACTTTAATCTCTTTCCTGACAGACTTGGCAAAAGCACAACAAGTTTACATTGACCATCAATACATAACAACACACACATAGACAACAGGTCAATGAATGCACTAACTGTAAGTCACTCTGGATAAGAGCATCTGCTAAATTACTAAAATGTAAATGTCATATCTAGGTATCCTCCTTTTTCCCCTGCAGTGACAACCTGATCCTGCGGCTGGCCAAGGCAGCAGGCGAGGTCCTGGGGAAGACCCATGATGAGCTCATGTATGCCTTTGGGGTTTACATGGTGAAGAGGATTGGGAACTACGGCTATGAGAGGATTCTCAAGGTAACCTAGTGCCTAGTGGCCCTCCTCAAGTGTCTGAGTTAACACTAGGCATAATTGGCCCTAATCAATGATCAATACACTGGTGTGTGTGTAATGTCATTATTTATCCCTTATCCATTCATCCAGGTGTTGGGTCGTAATGTGCGTGACTTCATCAATGAGCTGGACAACCTGCATGAGTACTTCCGCTTCTCCTTCCCCAAAGTGCAGCCTCCCAGCTTCTGTGTGGAGGAGGAGTGTGAGACCAGCCTCACCCTGCACTACCGCAGCACCCGCAAGGGCTTCACCCAGTTTGTCAAAGGTAGGTAGGAACCACCACAGAGGACAAACATAGCAAACACTATTTTTCTGGAAGCACTATATTTGGTAATACTGTACATAGGGTCCATGTCACACATCCCCAACCTGTAAAAATACTTGTTCTCTCTTCCCATACTGTAGGTCAGCTGTCTCAAGTGGGAAGGCAGTTCTACAACACGGACATTGAAGTTGAGATCCTGTCCAAAGAGGAGACTGAGAAGATGACATATGTGGTATGTACTGTACTGTGGGCATCTACCTATTTGAAGCTACTTCTTAGAACAATGTTATGTACACCCCAACGCACCTGCAAGTAACTCCTCCGACCTAGACCTAGGAGTGCATCACTTTCCAAGTGCAATTGTTTGCCCCATTGTCAAGCAACTTTAGTGTCAGGCCCCATTGTCAAGATCCTCACAACCTTAAGATCCTCAAAGCTGCGTTTCCATGATTACCTTCAAAGTCTCTTTCCGCAGATCTACAAGATGAACTTTGACAACGCTGCCTTCAAGCACCGCATGCCCCAGCAGAAGACGGCCCCGGGGTATGAGAAGCTACCCATGAAGAGGGGCATCTTTTTCGACATGTTCCCCTTTAGCGTGATCTTCCGCCGGGACATGACCATGTACCGCATCGGGGACGGCCTAAAGGAGGTCTTCTCCGACCTGCAGGGCAAGAAGGTCGACGAAGAGTTCACCCTGGTGCGGCCCATGCTGGAGTTCAGCTGGGACAATGTGAGTATAGGAGGGGAGAAGAGAGGGGGATGAGGGTTCTGTTACATTTGGTATGGTTTTTCCACTTCCCTAGGCTATTGTTGTCAATCTAGAGAGTTTGTTAGTGGATATTTGGGTTATTTAGTTACATTCAACAACCCCCTTTAATGGTCCCAAACAGTGAAAATCATGTTTTTCATCACATTGGATGATATTTGGATGAAACCAGTTCAAAGTAGGGTACCCAAGTATGAAAAATGACTGTAGTTGGCACATTGATAAAGTTTGATCATAAAGTTACTGGTCCCCTTCCCCATGTCAAACGCTTGGATTCAGACAGCCATTACCAAGGATTTACTTCCGGCTTTATCCAACGTCACATAAAGCCGGAAATGTAATACACCAATGGTAGCATCTTATCATCTTAACTAATTTAAATATGTACCGCCTTAAACCGTCATTGCATGTGTTCCTACACCTTGCTTTGGCTTTGTTTACAAACCATAGGCAAGCTACTAGTAGCTAGCTCAAGCAGAACGTACGACCAAATATATATATATTTTTTATAAACTGGTAGCCTTTCATCTGTGGTGTGACTGTTAGATAGCAAGCTACTTACCAGCATGCCGGCAAAAAGCTGTGACTGGATGCCATAGTGTAAATTTAACGTTACACTATTTTCCGAAGAATGAAGACAATCCGACAGCAGTGTCTCATTTTCATTTTGGGTGGACAGGCTGCACCGAAAATTACGATCATGTCACGGGTGTGCAGTGCACATTTCGAGCGAAGTTGCTTTATCAATTGGGGAGAATAATCGATGGGTCTGCCAGGAAGCTAATCCTAAAAACGGATGCAATACCATCATTGACAGTGGAACAGTGGATCTTGCAAGCGCTGACCATAATGTAAGTATCATTATTATTTTCACTTTCCATCTCCTTTTGTCTTTTCACTATCATCAAGCTGTAATGATAGACATTTTAGAAAATTCAACATCTAATTTGTCTGCACAGCTTCCCAGGCAACCACCGCAGCAGGAATGCTGTGATACCAAATCGGCTTTCCCGATTAGGAATGTAGTGAAGTAAGAATTGTCAAAAATATAAATAGTGTAAGTACAGACCCCAAAAAACGACTAAAGTAGTATTTTTTACTTAAGTACTTTACACCACTGTTCATTTAGAATCTGCACCAATTGAACATTTCAGGCACACACAATTCCAAATACGAACACCAGAAAACACAATGTAGAATGAATAGATCACTACATCAACGAATTGATAGCATCATAACTCAGAACAGTAAATAAAAGGATATTAAATTCACTACCCGTTTAACGAACATTTCCCTTTTCAAAAACATTACAGGCCTGGACCTCCTCTTCAACAAGGTCACCCTTGATCCAGCATGTTACAGTATGTGGGGAAGCTGTGTGAGCGGTCCATCCCAGGACCCCTGTCTGCCCAGTGTGAGAGGCCTGACAAGGAGGAGGCCATAGCTGGATTTGTGTCCCGCTTCAATCTTGGGGGTGACTGAAGCCAAGTGGGTTACTGAAGTTTGCTTGATTGAATCAGGGTACATGGATCCCCCTCCTCTCCCGCTCCCCTCCCCATCAATCGCTGTAGTTGGTTGCATTACCTAAAGCCTAAGTCATTAACGTTTACATAAAATCACATTTTGTTACTTTGTATGTTTTTTTCAAGCATTTGGATGGGAGATTAGTGTTACAAATTGGACGAATCAATGGGGTCCTGTACACTGTAGGGCGGCTGGGAGCCTATATTAGGCTAATGGCTCTTAATTATTTTTTTATGTCAAATTATGTCTCACCTTTATTTCTCATGAGTGTTTATGTTGATCAATATTTTGGGCTATGCTGTCCTATTGTAAATGATCAAATAAATGTCTGATCTATACAATTCTGAACATATTGTTATTTATAATAATATAATAATATGCCATTTAGCAGACGCTTTTATCCAAAGCAATTTACAGTCATGTGTGCATACATTTTTACGTATGGGTGGTCCCGGGGATCGAACCCACTACCCTGGCGTTACAAGCGCCATGCTCTACCAATTGAGCTACAGAGGACCATTGTCCAGAACACTTATTGCATGCTGTTTTCATGTACATTCCCTTATGTCTAAACTCCTAAGGTTACTCAGGCTTTACTAATTCTTGTGAAGAAGTGTATCAGTGAACTGTATTCTGTAATTAGGTACAAAACAATAGAAATGCAATTGTGTATTGCTGCTTTTTGTCTGATATCCAACAGCTCTGTTGACAATGAGAGCATTTTGCAGAGAAAATGGGTTATGGCCTACTATTTAGGCTCGGAATGTCATGTGGCCCATTGTCTACCTGGTCATCAATGAAGTGGCCCATTGTTTACCTTTCTACCTGCCAACGGCCCTTGGTTTCAAAGAGCTGTCAGTCAAGGCGAGCTCATGAATATAAGCTCCCCACTCACTCAGCCTGTTCTTTCAGGCTTCCTCATAGTTAGAAATGAGAGAAAAGGTACAATTTCTTCAATTCTGAGTAAAGTGTAAAAATATTATGGGGATGTTTTGGTCATTCAAAGGCTATTTTTACTTGGGGAAATAGGATGACTGTGTGGGACCTTTAAGCATCACTATGTCTGCATGTATCAGGGCCAGTCTCAGAATAAAGAATAAAGCATCTCAGAGTAGGAGTGATGATCTAGGATCAATGTTCCCTTCACAATCACAATAAATTAGGTTACATGGACAGTGTGGACCTGATCCTAGATCAGCACTCCTACTCTGAGACGCTTTGTGAATACAGGCCCTGGTATTGACTGAAGTCATCTGTTCCCATGCTTCCCCTCAGATCTACACCCACCTTAACAATGTGTTTGAGCTGCTGTCCAAAGCTGTGGTGGAGAGCAAGCAGAAGGTGAACGTCCCTAAACTGAGCAAGGAAAAGGAAGACGAGGGAAAAGAGGAGAGCGAGAAACCAAAGAGAGAGGAAGAGAGAGGTACAGAGAAGTCAAGGGTCCGCCCGTCGCCACAGTCAACCGACAGGAGAGGGGAGTACTTTGTCCCTAACAATCTCTACCACATGTCTAATGTTTAAGTGATTTTGATTAATTACTTTAAAGCAGCAGCCGTTTTTATCTCAATATCAAATCATTTCTGGGTAACAATTAAGTGAGTTACTGTGTGATTGTTTTCAACTAAAATGGTCAAAAAGAAAGAAAGATAGCTAGCTTCTTAGCAAAGAGCAATTTCTCAAGCAAGAATTTTGCTAAGACTGTCTGGGAGGGGAAAACTGAAAACTAGCTGTTATTGGCAGAGAGGTTTGGAACTCTCTTTCTTATTGGTCTATTTACTAACTTACTGCCTGGTGATGTCAACAGGCAGGCCAAAACACCATGCCACCAAAACAGGCTGAAATTTCAAGCGGTCTTTTCAAACAGCTCTTACACAAAGGGTATTATTATAATTTTCATAATTTCACAGTATTATTCCAACCTTATAGTGTGGAAATATATATAAAACACAGGAAAATCAGGTTTTTGACTGCACCGGGTCTTTTAAGGTCTTCCAATATGTGTAACAATAAAAAAAAATCTCTCTGTCAGTGCTGTTATAAGCATGAGTGAAATTGATTAAACAAATGTCACTCACTCAGCCACCCACCTTCCCTCCCTCCCTCCGTCATTCATTCCCTCCTGTCCTCTGGCCCATTAGATGTGAAGTCTGTGGAGGAGATGAAGGGGGACCAGGAGTTCAGCAGTGCTCTGACTCAGTACAACAGCTCAGCCAACTCAGGGGGGGAGGACATCGAGCTGCTCGCCTTCCAGACTGTCACCGGTGAGAACCCCTTCTTCCTCGCCCTTCACACTACTTTTTTATCTATCTTCCCACCTGTCCAGCTCACCAAAATAAGCTTACATGCTACATAGCTTTGTTCTCCTACATTTGAAAGGGGTACAGAAATGCCAGAATCAAAACAGAGTCAGTGATTGCCCTGTCTATTTTGAATGAAGTATTAACTATACCATTTTTAATAACTAGAGTGTAATGGTCTTGGAATTGTTGATGCCAATACCAATGACAATTCTAAATTCCAAAGCAATATTTCCAAGTTCTATGGCTGTGGATGACCCCACCCTGCTCTTCATCCCCAGGGAAGTGCAGTGAAACCATCTTCGAGGATATGAGGGAACCTCCCAAGAAGCCCCTCCACCTGAAGGGTCAGATGAAGTATGTCCCCCAGTGGGACTCGCTCATCTTCCTCAGTACGCCCATGTAAGTCCACCCACAACATCCTTACAGTACCTAGTCCTTATCTTACTATAAAGGAAATACGTAATCCAATTCAAAACTTGCCTTGAGGCTACAGCTATATGATGCCACGGTCAGACATGCTTCCAAAGCAACCAAAAAAGGAGAATCCAAAGCTTTGATAGTATAAAAACAAACAAAAATGTATTTGACAAACAAAGGTAATTTCATTGACTATAGTCCATCCAGGCCTACCTGAGCCATAATACCAAACCACAAAATGGGTATAGGGAAGGGGAACATGGGAAGAAGGAGGTGTGCCCAGGTGAGGCTCCATATTGCTTTCAAATACCCATGATAACCATAATAGAAAACCCAAAACATGATTTCAATTAATCAATATTTCACAATTCTAATAAGACAAACCATAAAAATTCATAATGAGACTGAATGTAAGGGAATTTGGCTCCAACACTTACCTTAGATAGTCCTTACCTTACCTTATGGTGTTTATTAGCATATTAAAATGTTTATTAGCACATGAAAATAGTAAAAACAATGATATACAATATTTATAGTATTACATATTGCCTATAAATATGTGCAGTATGCATAATATATTACATATTTATACCGCTGTAAATATATACTGAACAAAAATATAAACGCAGCATGTAAAGTGTTGGTCCCATGTTTGATGAGCTGAAATAAAAGATCCCCGAAATTTTCCATACGCACAAAAAGCTTATTTCTTTCCAATGTTGTGCAGAAATGTGTTTACATCCCTGTTAGTGAGTATTTCTCCTTTACCAAGATAATCCATCCACCTGACAGGTGTTGTATATCAAGCAGCTGATTAAACAACATGATCATTACACAGGTGCACCTTGTGCTAGGGACAATAAAAGGCCACTCTAAAATGTGCAGTTCTGTCACACAACACAATGCCACAGATGTCTTAAGTTTTGAGTTAGCTTGCAATTGGCATGCTGACTGCTGAAATGTCCACCAGAGCTGTTGCCAGAGAATTGAATGTTAATTTCTCTAAAATAAGCCGCCTCAAACGTCGTTTTAGAGAATTTGTCAATACGTCCAACCGGCTTCACAACCGCAGACCACGTGTAACCACGCCAGCCCAGGACCTCCACATCCGGCTTCTTCACCTGCGGGATCATCTGAGACCAGCCACCCGGACAGCTGATGAAACTGAGGAGTATTTCTGTCTGTAATAAAGCCTTTTTGTGGGGAAAAACTAATTCTGATTGGCTGGGCCTGGCTCCCAATTGGGAGGGCCTATGCCCTCCCAGGCCCACCCATGGCCGCGCCCCGCCCAGTCATGTGAAATCCATAGATTAGGGCCTAATGAATTTATTTCAATTGAGTGATTTCCTTATATGAACTGTAAAATCGTTGAAATTGTTGCATGTTGCTTTTATCCACTTCCCTTTTCAATCCCTTCTTATCTCCCTTTCTGCCACTCATCCCATCCTTGCTGTCTCTCTCATTCCTCTTCCTCTCTTTTCTTCCTCTTCCAGTATAGAGACAGTGGAGGACATGATTAAAATGGGCGTCTATGTGAACGATCTGAACCTACACGACTCCAGCCGAGAGCTCATCTTAGCCGGAACACAGCAGTCGGCTGAACTTCAGCTGGCTCTTGACCAGGTAAGTCATGGACATTTCATATATACCACATACCACCTTTCTTGAATTGGAATAACACACAACCTTACTTTGGTACACTGTTAACGTTATCATATAACTCATCTACTAACTGGGCCAAGTTTGCCTCAGCTAAGAATGCAAGACATACTACTATACCCACACACAGTCCTGCTCATAGGCAGCGTTATTTTCAAAGTTACAAATAAAGACATATGCAGTGTATAGTTCACACTGAAAGGCAGAGGCAAAGACCATCTCAAGGGCGGGGCTGGATAGGCCTTTGAAGGATGAGGAAGAGTTAGTTGACTGACAGCTCTCTCTCTTTCTCTGGTGGCTCCTCCCACTCCAGGAGCAGCAGAAGTACGCCCAGCTCCAGGAGATCATCAAGAAGCTGGACGAGGAGAAGAAGAGAGGAGACTCCCTCCTCTACGCCATGATCCCCAAAGCTGTGGCTGACCGGCTCAGGAAGGGTATCACGGCCCTGGAGACATGCCAGGTACTAACCCAGAGCCATATATTTACAGATACATATACAGATATACAGGGTGCATCCAAAATGGCACCCCATTCCCTATATAGTGCACCATATAGTGCCCAAGCTCTGGTCAAAAGTAGTGCACTATATAGGCAATAGGGTGCCATTTCAGACGCAGCCATAGAGTTTGTAGAGGAAACTATCCTCCATGTTGGCTCAAAACATTAAATGACAATAAGACTCAATTGAATTCTGGAGCTAACTAGTCACCTCATTTCTATTAAGCCAGAAGAAACACCACAGTAAAATGTCAAGCATCTAAGTGTGCTGGTATTTCCTAGGTGTTCCCGGACGTGACCATCCTATTCAGCGACGTGGTGAAGTTCAACGAGATCTGCATCCACATCACGCCCATGCAGGTGGTGGACATGCTCAACGAAATCTACATAGTCTTCGACACGCTCAGCGAGAAGCACAACGTCTACAAGGTGAATGACTGGGACAATACAAAACAAGGGACTCTGTGGGAACAATATGCCTGAATACTCAACCAATGTTGTCTGGATCAAAAAGGGAAGACTCTATTATCATGCACTGAGTGGCTGTAGCAATGTTTTACAGAGTGGAATGTTTAGTTTGTTTCATTGGTAGGATATAATGTATACAGTAATGCTTCTAAACATACTACTTGACTTTTATTCCCCTGGATTCAGGTGGAGACCATCCGAGATGCCTACATGGTGGTGGCAGGCGTGCCCAATAAGACAACCTTCCATGCCCACCACATATGTGACATGGCCCTGGACATGCTGAGCTCCATCGACCACCTCAAAGACCCCTCCACTGGAGACAACATCCAGATCAGAGTCGGTGAGCAGAGACCATTGAAATACAATCTAGTCATTCTATTTCTATGGCACAGACAGTTTAGACAGATTATGTTACTGAGTTTGGGTAATCCAAAAGTTACGTTACTGATTACAATTTTGGTCATGTAACTGTAACGGATTACATTTATATAGTAACCTACCCAACCCTGCATACATGACAGACATAAAGCATACACATACTGTACTGTACAGTGTGTCTTTATAATCAGGTCAATAGGAAGTCAAAGGCTTGATATTGTCTAGCCATGCCCTGACTGTGCTCCTCAGTTAATTCTGCCAGATTTATACCCCTTAAGTCACCCTGAATCTAGAGCCACTGATCCAGGTTCAGTAAAGCAGTTTAACTTCATTGTATGTTGTTTCCCTTCAGGGATCCACTCAGGGATGGTGGTGGCTGGGGTGGTAGGGCTGAAGATGCCTCGCTACTGTCTGTTTGGAGACACCGTCAACACTGCCTCCCGCATGGAGAGCAATGGGGTGGTGAGTGCTGCCATTAGAACATAACCTCACTATAGGGTAAATCCATTTGAATTCAATCACTTTGACAGCATTCCTTTTGATTTAAACAAAAGGTTCCATACATGTTCTATTTCTATGATTGACACCCATGCTGTATTCAAGAGCATGTTGTGTCTCAACCAATGGCGGTCATAACCAATGTTCCCTCAAAAAAATGTCAGCACTGAGCAAATTTCAGGTCTGCTGAGCGCAAACCTGAACGTTCTGAAAATTCTGCGCAACTTCCGGCGCGCATTTACTGTGAACACTGATGCTGTATCCGGTTTAAGTTAGTTTTAACAATGGTCAAGTAGGCTACTGTGGCTATTTGATGGCCTACCATCAAAAACAATGGAGAAAATGCATCCCATAACATTTTAACATGGAAATAGCTGTTCTATTGTTCAGCCTACAGTAGCCAATGTGTGGGGTTCAATGTAGGCCTACATTCCATGAGACTTTTGAAAAAAACATGCAGGGCTTGACATTAACCTGTTTATCCACTTGTGACTGAAAATGTTGTTGTGTTGTTTGATGCAAGAAACCATCATTATTCCCATACCATTATTACAGAGAATCAGACAAATTATGCTACCCTCTGCCTATTGGCTACTTAGCTTATTCAAGCCTGTCTCAAAATACAACACTGGCCCTTTAAGACAGAAAAAAGCTCTTTACCTGACTCGCTTTTCAAAGATGTCTAGAAATACACACGTTTTGTGCTCTTGTAGGAAGCAATCACTCCCCCATTGCTGACTAAAAATGTTCTATAACTGGGCTAATAACTCACTAACTAGCAAAGGATCTGAACAAATGTACAAATGTGCACACGTCGCTACATGTAGCTCTCACTTTGATCTCAAAACAAGCGCATCTACTCACGACCGCTCATGCTGTAAAAACAGTCCAGTTCAAAGTGAATGGCACAGATCCATAAATGGCAATGGACTATTTGCATATAGGCCTACTGCAGCTCTGATTGGTTATGGTGCACTGGTCTGTGTAGAGTAAGGGCCTGAGTCGTGCCTGTCAATGCAACAGAATCCTACTCCTATGCGTTCTGCCTACAACAAAATCTCTTGCATAGTTAGTTTTGTTTTGGTATATTGCATAGATTCGATCACAATTCCCACATTAAAGGGAAACGTTGATAGTGTTAACTAACGGGGAAAACTCTAGAAAGTTGAGTGATGGTAAATCTTGTGCTTCTCTGCGCGGGCTGATATTTCTTCTGCGCACTAGTGCCGGGGAGCTGTGTGCCCGCGCACAGCTTAGAGAGAATATTGGTCACAACACAAAAACCTCAGATTATGTCAAATATGGTCTAAGCTACAATGTATGTGAATAGGGGAAAAAATCTGAGTTTATCGACGTTTAAGGTTAAAAAAATGACATAAAATAAATATATACAGTGAGGGAAAAAAGTATTTGATCCCCTGCTGATTTTGTACGTTTGCCCACTGACAAAGAAATGATCAGTCTATAATTTTAATGGTAGGTTTATTTGAACAGTGAGACACAGAATAACAACAAAAAAATCCAGAAAAACGCATGTCAAAAATGTTATAAATTGATTTGCATTTTAATGAGGGAAATAAGTATTTGACCCCCTCTCAATCAGAAAGATTTCTGGCTCCCAGGTGTCTTTTATACAGGTAACGAGCTGAGATTAGGAGCACATTCTTAAAGGGAGTGCTCCTAATCTCAGTTTGTTACCTGTATAAAATACACCTGTCCACAGAAGCAATCAATCAATCAGATTCCAAACTCTCCACCATGGCCAAGACCAAAGAGCTCTCCAAGGATGTCAGGGACAAGATTGTAGACCTACACAAGGCTGGAATGGGCTACAAGACCATCGCCAAGCAGCTTGGTGAGAAGGTGACAACAGTTGGTGCGATTATTCGCAAATTACATTTACATTTACGTCATTTAGCAGACGCTCTTATCCAGAGCGACTTACAAATAGGTGCATTCACCTTATAGCCAGTGGGATAACCACTTTACAATATATATATACATATATATATATATTTTTTTTTGGGGGGGGGGGGGGGGGGGGGGGGGGGGGGGTTGGATTGGAGTAAGTTGGTTGGAGTAAGGGGGGGGGGGGGGGGTGAAATTAAATGGAAGAAACACAAAATAACTGTCAATCTCCCTCGGCCTGGGGCTCCATGCAAGATCTCACCTCGTTTGCAATGATCATGAGAACGGTGAGGAATCAGCCCAGAACTACACAGGAGGATCTTGTCAATGATCTCAAGGCAGCTGGGACCATAGTCACCAAGAAAACAATTGGTAACACACTACGCCGTGAAGGACTGAAATCCTGCAGCGCCCGCAAGGTCCCCCTGCTCAAGAAAGCACATATACAGGGCCATCTGAAGTTTGCCAATGAACATCTGAATGATTCAGAGGAGAACTGGGTGAAAATGTTGTGGTCAGATGAGACCAAAATCAAGCTCTTTGGCATCAACTCAACTCGCCGTGTTTGGAGAAGGAGGAATGCTGCCTATGACCCCAAGAACACCATCCCCACGTCAAACATGGAGGTGGAAACATTATGCTTTGGGAGTGTTTTTCTGCTAAGGGGACAGGACAACTTCACCGCATCAAAGGGACGATGGACGGGGCCATGTACCATCAAATCTTGGGTGAGAACCTCCTTCCCTCAGCCAGGGCATTGAAAATGTGTTGTGGATTGGTATTTCAGCATGACAATGACCCAAAGCACACGGCCAAGGCAACAAAGGAATTGCTCAAGAAGAAGCACATTAAGGTCCTGGACTGGCCTAGCCAGTCTCCAGATCTTAATCCCATAGAAAATCTGTGGAGGGAGCTGAAGGTTCGAGTTGCCAAACATCAGCCTCGAAACCTTAATGACTTGGAGAAGATCTGCAAAGAGGAGTGGAACAAAATCCCTCCTGAGATGTGTGCAAACCTGGTGGCCAACTACAAGAAACATCTGACCTCTGTGATTGCCAACACGGGTTTTGACACCAAGTACTAAGTAATGTTTTGCAGAGGGGTCAAATACTTATTTCCCTCATTAAAATGTAAATCAATTTATAACATTTTTGACATGCGTTTTTCTGGATTTTTCTGTTGTTATTCTGTCTCTCACTGTTCAAATAAACCTACCATTAAAATAATAGACTGATCATGTCTTTGTCAGTGGGCAAACAATCAAAATCAGCAGGGGATCAAATACTTTTTTCCCTCACTGTATATATATTTAAAATGGTTTGACAACCCTGTTTGTAAGCTTTTAAATTATATAAATTATCAACCGTTTATCTTTTCCAGTGGTATGGTGGGGTATGCAAAATTGGTCAACTTTGAGCAACTTTATCTCTTGAATGTTTTGGCATTCAGGTCCAAAGGTCACTTTCTTAGCACTTCTACAATGGACAAATTTATATGGAAGGTTTTGTTCAAATCAAAAGGGGTGCTGTCAAAAAGTGATTGAATTCAAATGGATTTAATATTTAATATTTCACTAACAGACATGATCAATTAGCACTGTATAGCAAATAATTTACTTCGTAAGTAGGCCGCAAGTAGGTTAATGTGACATTGAGTGAGCTGAATAGTTAGCACTATGTCAGCCATTAACCTCTGTGTGTCTGTCTGTACAGGGCATGCAGATCCACATAAGCCAGACTACTAAAGATCACTTGGAACATGAGCCATACATAATTGAGGAGAGGGGAAAGATCTTTGTGAAGGTATGTGTACGATGCTCCATCATGGCACTGTGATGCTCCACCTGCCAAAAAGACAAAAATGCACCACACTAAATCTTTTTATTAAATCTTATCTATTCAAACATATTTTGATCTCTTCAGGAGTTTTATCAAAATTCAAAAGTCCTAAAATTGTCATTTGCGGCCCATCCATTGGCTGAGTTATAATCATGACAGGTATTGAACATAAGGATCATGAACACGGTACTATTTCTGCCTACATTCTGTCCAATCACAGGGTAAAGGCTACATGAAGACATATTGGCTGAAGGGGAAGAAGGACCTGTCATTTAAGACTCCAGCAGAGCTCCGCTACAGCAGTGAACAGAAGGACTCAGAGGACAGGAGCTCCAATGGGTGAGTGGAGCAGGGGAGGAGGCAACCCCAATCTCTTCTGTAGGGATATACTGCAAGATGCCCTATATCATATGATTGCGAATAGTTAATGTCGCTACTGTAGAGTTAGTAAGGTTCCAACATCAGCCCATTTGTGGAGCGAAGGGCTCCCATAACAAAAACACACCTGCTAGTAATTTGCTTTGCTTTTGTACATACTGTATGTGGTCATTTTTTTAATACATGTTCCAATACACAGCTCCACCTGCACCAACACCAAGCGCTCCACCTCCAACCTGAATATTCCCAATGAGGAGCAGCCAGAGGGCAAGCCCACCCCCACAGAGCTGCCTGCAGAGCCCTTACCTTCACTAGAGGGTGCCCCCGAGGACCTCACAGACCCCACGGAGCCCCAGGAGAAGAAAGTAAAAAAGAACACTAAGAACAACAACAAAGGGGGCGTGGCCAAGCCCGAGGCTCCTCCCCAGCAGGTCAATGCGGTGCAGGAGAGTGCAGTGCCTCCTGCTGCTGCCCAGGAGACCCCCACGGCCCCCCTGTCTACCGCCGCCCCAGTGCTTAACAACAAGAGGAACAGCTTCAGGCAGCACACCAAGCTGCCCACCCACCTTCCCATGCGCAGCACCTCCTGCTGCCTACTGTGAGAGGAGTGGCTAAAGTGATGTGACTGGCCTGCATCTTATTGACAGTCCTGTGAAGGCAAACCCTGAAACTGACCCTAACCTTGAACCTTAACTTAACCAATTAGAAAATTCAACATGGTTTCGCTGGTCACGTCCCTATAGTTTTTCCCCTACTGTGAAAGGGACCAGGCTAGAGGTCAAGACCTCTCATCTCAGATCATGGGCCAGCCTTCATGTTCGATATATTGTGTGACGCCCTGGTGTTTATCCTATGTTTTTCCTTAGGCAGGACCTGAGGGTCCCCACATCAACATTCAGGGATGCCCACACCTAATGGAATGTATTAGTCCATTTATTCAGGGTGGAGTAACAGAGGTAGACGGGGGGACCACCCCACCTAAGTATTAATGGAGGAAACATTGATGCCCCTAAAATTAAATAAATGTGACATTACTGAAAAGGGAAAAAACTTTATCTTCCAACAAATATATACAGATACTCATGTCTTGATGACATGTTAAACAGTGGGCCTCTTTTGGTAATACAAGCACCTGGCTAATGTCATGGATTTGTGCGTGTTGTTGAAAGGAAACAGGTCAATAAATGTACAGTTCATGTACCATTTATCAAGTTATTACTGTCGGTGAAAACACCTTTTCAAATTACAGCATCACAATGGATTGGCATACAGAGTAAGATGAGATGTCAAGAGGTGGTTGTATTTTATTTGCATTAACTAGTTCTCAGAGAAGACTGACCCAAGTTACATTTCTGATACTGTATTTAATGATGGAATAATATGACTTTAATAATATATATTATAGTGCTTTTCCTAATGCTGTAAGTGCTTTACTTTTCTGTTTTGTATCTGTAATTTGTTGCACGTTTACTGTACGTTAGCATTTCTTTGTCCATAAAAACTGTACAGACAAACATGTTACGTGTTCATTTCCATGTTGATATCTTTAAATGTTTTGCTTAATAATAAACACAAAAAAAATCATGGTTCACTCACAATGTCAAGGGACAGATAAAGGCAAAGATAAAAGGGAAACTATAGCTCTATAAAACTGGGGATAGTAACTTTTTTCTATAACACGCTCATCAGTGCACGTGATGGGGAAAAGGCTAGTCGCAGTCAGCTGCAGACATATAACATTAAATCAATGACCTTCTCTGAATCGACACACTCCTATCTAGACGTTACCTGGCCCCGTATCAGATAACACAGCTAGCGGAGAATGTGTGTACTCAGAAAACAGCTAAGCACCAGTCAGAAAATAGTAAATGTCCAAAATGTTTAATGAAAAGACAGTAAAGCGGACAAAGACTTTAGGCCTACACTGAAATCCCATCATGACAATGAATATCCTTATTCTAGATTATGAATTTCTTCACTAAGGTGGGAGGCCCAATGTCCTTGATCTTTTAACTAAGGAGGTAACACATTATACATAAGCTGTGCTCAAAGAAAAGGTACAGCGCCTTCAGAAAGTGTTCATACCCCTTGACTTATTCCACATTTTGTTGCGTTACAGCCTGAATTCAAAATGGATTTAAAAAAAAAATATATATATATATATATATATATATATATATATACACACACAATCTCACCCATCTACACACAATACCCCATAATGAAAGTGAAAACATGTTTTTAGAAATGTTTGCAAATTTACGTAAGTATTTACACCCCTGAGTCAATACTTTGTAGAAGCACCTTTGGCGGTGATTACAGCTTTTCACATCTCAATTTAGGGAGCGGCGGTAAACAGCAATCTTCAAGTCTTTCCACAGATTTTCAATGTCATTCAAGTCTGGGCCACTCAAGGACTTTCACATTCTTGTTCTGAAGCCATTCCAGCATTGCTTTGGCTGTATGCTTGGGGTCATCTAAGGTCATTTGCACTCTGAAGCAGGTTCTCATCAAGGATTTACCTGTATTTGGCTCCATTTATTGTTCCCTCTATCCTTACCAGTCTCCCAGTCCCTGCCGCTGAAAAGCATCACCATAGCATGATGCTGCCACCACCATGCTTCACGGTAGGGATAGTGTTCTCCAGACATAGCGCTTTGCATTCAGGCCAAAGAGTTCAATTTGTGTATCATCAGACCAAATAATATTTTGCCTTATGCTCTCAGTCTTTCATGTGCCTTTTTGCAAACTCCAGGCATGTTGTCATGTGCCTTTTTCTCAGGAGTGGCTTCCGTCTTGCCACTCTCCCATAAAGTCCAGATTGGTGAAGTGCTGTAGAGACAGGTGAAGTAATGTAGAGACTGTGCTGTAGAGACTGTAGTTCTGTCAGAGTAGTCATTGGGTTCTTGGTCACCTTCCTGGGTTTTCAATTTTCCAACGATGGAGACCATTGTGCTCTTGGAAACATTCAACACTCTAGAAACTGTTTTATACCCTTCCCCATATATATACAGTGGGGGAAAAAAGTATTTAGTCAGCCACCAATTGTGCAAGTTCTCCCACTTAAAAAGATGAGAGAGGCCTGTAATTTTCATCATAGGTACACGTCAACTATGACAGACAAAATGAGAAAAAATAATCCAGAAAATCACATTGTAGGATTTTTTATGAATTTATTTGCAAATTATGGTGGAAAATAAGTATTTGGTCAATAACAAAAGTTTCTCAATACTTTGTTATATACCCTTTGTTGGCAATGACACAGGTCAAACGTTTTCTGTAAGTCTTCACAAGGTTTTCACACACTGTTGCTGGTATTTTGGCCCATTCCTCCATGCAGATCTCCTCTAGAGCAGTGATGTTTTGGGGCTGTCGCTGGGCAACACAGACTTTCAACTCCCTCCAAAGATTTTCTATGGGGTTGAGATCTGGAGACTGGCTAGGCCACTCCAGGACCTTGAAATGCTTCTTACGAAGCCACTCCTTCGTTGCCCAGGCGGTGTGTTTGGGATCATTGTCATGCTGAAAGACCCAGCCACGTTTCATCTTCAATGCCCTTGCTGATGGAAGGAGGTTTTCACCCGAGATTTGACGGTACATGGCCCCGTCCATTGTCCCTTTGATGCGGTGAAGTTGTCCTGTCCCCTTAGCAGAAAAACACCCCCAAAGCATAATGTTTTCCACCTCCATGTTTGACGGTGGGGATGGTGTTCTTGGGGTCATAGGCAGCATTCCTCCTCCTCCAAACACGACGAGTTGAGTTCTCCTCTGAATCATTCAGATGTTCTTTGGCAAACTTCAGACGGGCCTGTTTATGTGCTTTCTTGAGCAGGGGGACCTTGCGGGCACTGCAGGATTTCAGTCCTTCACAGCATATTGTGTTACCAATTGTTTTCTTGGTGACTATGGTCCCAGCTTCCTTGAGATCATTGACAAGATCCTCCCGTGTAGTTCTGGGCTGATTCCTCACCGTTCTCATGATCATTGCAACTCAACGAGGTGAGATCTTGCATGGAGCCCCAGGCCGAGGGAGATTATCAGTGGTCTTGTATGTCTTCCATTTCCTAATAATTGCTCCCACAGTTGATTTCTTCAAACCAAGCTGCTTACCTATTGCAGATTCAGTCTTCCCAGCCTGGTGCAGGTCTACAATGTTGTTTCTGGTGTCCTTTGACAGCTCTTTGGTCTTGGCCATAGTGGAGTTTGGAGTGTGACTGTTTGAGGTTGTGGACAGGTGTCTTTTATACTGATAACAAGTTCAAACAGGTGCCATTAATACAGCTAACGAGTGGAGGACAGAGGATCCTCTTAAAGAAGAAGTTACAGGTCTGTGAGAGCCAGAAATCTTGTTTGTTTGTAGGCGACCAAATGTGATTTTCTGGATTTTTTTCTTCTCAATTTGTCTGTCATAGTTGACGTGTACCTATGATTAAAATTACAGGCCTCTCTCATCTTTTTAAGTGGGAGAACTTGCACAATTGGTGGCTGACTAAATACTTTTTTTCCCCACTGTATGTGCCACATCACAAGTCTGTCTCGGAAATCTACGGCCAGTTCCTTCGACTTCCTGGTAGAGTTTCTGCTCTGACATGCACTGTCAACTGTGGGATCTTATATAGACAGGTGTGTTTCTTTCTACATCATGTCCAAACAATTGAATTGGCCACAGGTGGACGCCAATCAAGTTGTAGTGATGTCTCAAGGATGATCAAAGGAAATTGGATGCACCTGAGCTCAATTTGGAGTGTCATAGCAAAGGGGTGTGAATACTTATGTAAATTAGATATGTATGTATTCCATTTTCAATAAATGTGCTAACATTTCTAAAAACATGTTTTCACTTTGTCATTATGGGGTATAAGATGGGAAAAAATAATAATATTTAATCCATTTTGAATTCAGGCAGTAACAACAAAATGTGGAACAAGTCAAGGGGTATGAATACTTAAGGGTTAATGGGTGCTACAGACCTACCTACCACACACACACACACACACACACACATCTGAACTCTCCTTGTAGACATTTCTGAGTGAGATGTCATTACATGATTAAGAGGAAGCCGTCAGGAAACCGCTTAAGCACTATTTCCTGTCTGTTGCCACGGTGACAGGCCCACTTTTTCAGTTGTAGTTCACTATCTCCAGTCAGTTAATTTCGTGCAGAAGGAAAGAGAAAATAAACACAAAGGTGCAGGTGTCTTTGAATCCCCACTGCACACTCTGTGGGCTTGTATCCGTTCAGACTCTCCCTTCAGTTCAACTGGGCCTTGGTCTGACCTCTCACCCCGACACCTGAAAACAATCATTGGCTCAAAGGCCTTGGCCCCATTGGATTGGAGCTTTTTTTTATGGGTTGAGCCTCAGAAGGCTGTTTGGTCCAGCTGGATGTTGTTCACATAAACCTACAGATAAACAGAGGGCTTTTGAATCAGGTAATGGCCAAGCCTGTATGAATCAGGGCATTCATGAATTGTGGTCAGTGTAAACACAAAACACACTTCCCTTATTAGGAATTGTTGAGACTGATCAAATTCACCCACATTATAACTCAAGATCTGAGACTAGGATATCTGGAATATACAGTTGCTAGTGAAACTCCCCACTCCCAGCCGGTGACAAGCAGACCCATAACATGATGCTGCCACCACAAGACTTGAAAAATACAGAGGATCAACAACATTACATTCACTCCACATTACTGGCCAGTATGAAAATGTGAAATGAAGGAAACCTATGTTTAAAAATCCACTTCATATCATTCATTCTGTTTGCTAAGTAATACTGCAAGACAACATGGCAAATCCATTTACTTTTTGGCCTAAATTAAAAACTACAGGTTTGGGTCGAATCCAATACAATATTTTCAAGTATTGTGGTGGCAGCATCATGTTCTGGGTATGCTTGTCACCGGCAGGGTCTGGGGAGTTTGTCAGAATCAAAAGAAATATGAAAGGAACAAAGCCCAGGTAAAAAGTTAGAGGAAAACCCACCTCAGTCTTCTAGAAACCTAACCCTGGGATAGAGTTTTACTTTTCAGAGGAACAATTACACAAATGTTAATGACAAAGTGTTGAGTGTTTCTGAGTCATCCAATGTCAGTCCTGACTTAAATTAGCTTGAAAATCAGAGACAAGGTTTGAATGTTTCTGTCCATCATTGATTCCAAACCAAATTTACTGAGCTTGAGCAATTGTGACAAAAACAATGGATATACCATGCCCGAAGAGTTGTGCAAGGTTGGTAGACTCTTCACAGCTGTAATGGCTGCCAAAGGTGCTTCCACCAAGTTTTCACTCTGGGGTGTGAAGACATACATTGTTTTTAATTCATTTGGAAAATGTTCTATAATTTTCTTTCACTTGAAAATCTAATTTAATGCCTTTTTAGATTGTATTTTAAGGCAGCAAAATGTGAAGAATGTGCAAGGGATGTGTAGACTGCATCGCAGTGCTAACTGTGCCACTAGAGATCCTGGTTCGAATCCAGGCTCTGTCGCAGCCGGCCGCGACCGGGAGACTCATGGGCGGCGCACAATTGGCCCAGCGTCGTCCAGGGTAGGGGAGGGAATGGCCGGCAGGGATGTAGCTCAGTTGATAGAGCATGGCGTTTGCAACGCCAGGGTTGTGGGTTTGATTCCCACGGGGGGCCAGTATAAAAAAATATGTATTCACTAACTGTAAGTCACTCTGGATAAGAGCGTCTGCTAAATGACTAAAATGTAAATGTAAAATGTAGACTTTCACTAGGCACTGTATGTACTATTACCTCAGTCTACCTATGACTCTGTATTTGCTTTTCACAAATTCAACATCAATTGAAACTAAGAAAACATGAGGAGAGAGAAAATCTATGGCAACCAATGCAAACAAAGCTGGTAAATAGGTCTTATATAGCCATCAGTCTTTACTGACTTCCCTCCATTTCAAACCAATGTGAGCTCAGTATTTTGAAATAATGTTAATTCATGCCAATGTTGTTATAGAGTTATGCTGGTAGAGCACGGCGCTTGTAACGCCAAGGTAGTGGGTTCGATCCCCGGGACCACCCATACACAACAAAAAAAAAATATGTATGCACGCATGACTGTAAGTCGCTTTGGATAAAAGCGTCTGCTAAATGGCATATTATTATTATTATTATATACAGTATACACTCCATACGGTTGAATCCCTTAATACTGTACTATGTCACCAGGGTCAAAATAACAAATGACAACAGTAAAGCAGTGAAAATGTTAAAGGATTAACAGATGAACTATATGAATGTATACATTGCTGGAGAACAGAGATGACATGGAGTCCACTGCTGACAGAAGCTGCATTCCTGCAATGGTGAACACAAAAAGGGTTAAGCCGCTCCCCTTTCAAACGACTGCATCACTGGATTATTGCTAAATTCTTTCTGGGGTTTTCACTTGTCAGGACAAGCAGAGGCCCACTGTCAGCAGATAGAGGGAGGGAGAGGGAGAGAGGGAGAGAGAGAGAGAGAGAGAGAGAGAGGGACAGAGTGGATGAGAGAGAGAAACAAAAAGAAACAGGGAGAGTGATAAAGTATGACGAGGAAGGAGAGCAAGAGAAAGATGCTGTAGTTTGAAGAGGAACAAAAGTTTGAATTTCAATTTTAGAGGGAAAAGAGAGAGAGAGAGAGAGAAAGAGAGAGAGAAACACACTAAGGGGTGTGTCATAGCAATTTAGTTCCTCAAGGAAGTACAACTGAAAATTATCTTGAGACAGGGTGGCGAGCAGCAAAGATAGAAGCGACACAGAGGGATTTTCTTTTATTTTCACCTGGTAAGATGAAGGGATTCCATTAACGAGTGCTCAATGCTGACAACCTGAGCCACGTGCCGTGGGGACTTAGACGTTTGACACAAAGGAGGGAGGGGGACTCTCACACACACAGGTAAGAAGGCTCTCAGGGCTTTCTCTATCTGATAACAACTCAACCATGTATTTTCTATGCACAGATACCTTTGACAGACATAACATACACTCTTGCAAATATAACACTTGTGTTATTATTATAGCAAGCTTGTTGTTTTTTGTTATATCTTTCAATACAGTTTAGGCCTATGTGGATAAAGTGAGAAGGAACGTGGTACTGAAGAACCAAATAAGATCATGTGTGAATTCCTCTTCGATACTTTTCTAACTTACACTTGACTTGGGAGGCGTGTACGTACACTCAGAGTCATGCTGGAACAGGTACAAACAGAACCCACCCCTGACAGACAGATTTATAACTGAGAAGAGAAACCATCTGTGTCTGGTGGAGCTTGCACAATCAAACCCTGAGCTGTGGACATTATTTTCCTCTACTAGCCTACATGGATTGAGAGTGCCAGAGAGCCAGTCAGAGCGAAAGACAAAGACAGGGAAATGACACAGCAATGTGTTGGACAGACAGTAATGGGTAAAAACAAGATTGGTGATGATTTTTCACCACAAACTAACTGCTTTGTTTCGCTTCCCTATTAAGCCAGCAGAGTTGTGTGTCAGTCTTGAACAACAACTCTTCAAAGACTTTGAGAAACGTTACAAGACTGACAAAACGTGCAAATATTATACTGTATGAACACTTTTCAATGAGAAACTGCCAGAATCAAACAGCAAGCATTCATTGAATTAACACTATCAGTCCAACACCATTGTTAATGAAGCAATACTGTTGTGATGCCAGTTTTTGGTCCATTATTGTGCCGCATGCTGAACCTGCTCAAACGGGACATAGCCTGATTTAGAAACCTATACCAACTGAATGCTGAGAGAGAGAAACTGGAAAGTTCCACACTTTTGTGAGGTCCTCAATTGAAAAGAAAGGACCTGAGCTCAGGATAATGGCACCAGGAGTGTGTTCAATGAGGTGGTAGAACTGCATATATTCTCTGTTTCATATGATTAAAAGTCATGTCCATCCTATATAATATATTTCTATCTGAAATACCCTAAACATTTCGCCCTTCTGAACAGACACTATATGAACTGGGAGGCCTCAATGCCCCATAATACCACTCAAGTCTGGTGACAGGCAGTGGGTGACATAAGCCTCCAGGGCTAGTGTTAGTGGAACATGTCTGCTGGACCTGGTGGTTTGTAATAGCAGCAGTAGTCACATTCTGTCCAGGGAAGTGGAAGGGACTCCCCAATTCCCCTGCTAAGCCCTGTGAGAGTCCAGAGGATTTACCTACACACACACACACACGTACACACACACCCTCAGCAGTCATCTATGGAATGCTAAATATTTCCCCCTCCCGCCCCGGCCCCCTGCGCATAATCTTCCAATCAGCGATCACTATCTCCAAGTCAGTCAGCACAGCTCTTCTTGATCCACACAACCTGCCCTCCTAACACTGGTCATGGAAGACCCACATTGCTTGGCTTTTCCTATTCCTGAATGTGTAATAATGTCTGGTTTGTTATAGGAGAAGTTAGTGCTCTTCCATCCATAGCCTAATGGATAGCAACTCAAATTAACCTTCTTGAGTGCTCTTTAAATGTGTACATGATCATTGTTGCTGTACTCCACATGAACTGTGTACACATAAAATGCATTATCAGTCCGCCCTGTGCTGTCCATTACAGGAGAGCGGTTTTTATTGTACTCTCGGCTGTCGCATGAAGACAACCAAAAAAGTATATTTATACTGTAAACAATTGACCCTTAGCAGACTAGTCAAATAAACAGAGTGAACTTTCCTTTAAGCCCAGCCAAAGAGACAGCTGTCTCCAGCTGTGGCTCCATATTTTTGGAGGGAGGATACATGGCTGATGGGTGTGCACGTCTCTCAATCCCCACTGGGCTTTTCTGCACTGGAATGAGATTGAGAGCAAATCTGAAATAGCTATCATGCTGTTCCACTTCCATTATCATCGTTAAGGGAAATTAATCTAATGAATGTTCCCACAGAGAGCTGAGGCTTTGTACTGGAACGTACCATTAGAAATGTGACACTGGGTAAGCATGTAATAAAAACCCAGTGGGATGTCATATGGGAGATGTGTGTTAGCTGATTATGGAACATAGCCTATTAGCGAGGTATGCTTATTAGTATGTCAGGATCATATGATTTATTGGTGGAAAAGTCATTTGCATTCAGTGCTTACTGCATCAATTGTGAGTCAGATAGATTACTGTCATTTGGATCACGCATGCATGCACGAGTGCACACACTCCTGGACCCGTATTCATAAATCCTTTCAGAATAGGACCATTTCCTGTCTGTCTGAGACCCTTTGTGAATACGGGCCCTGAAGCAATTTAAAAAGACCCATCTGTGTGAAAGCCTTGTTGCCACTTAAAGGATGCCCCAATGTAAGACCTTTGCCTAAGGGAGGATTCCAAGCCAGTAAATATACACTCTTAGGAAAAAAAAAAGGTGTTATCTAGAACCTAAAAGGGCTCTTCGGCTGTTCTTATAGGAGAACCCTGTCCACAGAGGGTTCTACATGGAACGCCAAAGGGTTCTTCTACCTGTAAGCAAAAATAGTTTTTCCTATGAACCTGGAACCCTTTTTTCTAAGAGTGAAGGATAGCCATTGGGTCTAGGGCCATGACTTTCTCCATTCCCCCTGTTCTGATGCAATCTAGGAGCACTTGTAGAAACATGCCTGAGCTATGCAGCCTACCTGCCTCTCTCACATACTTGTCCACACAGGCCTTAAGTGGGGATTCAGCACTGAAATTATCAGCACAGGATGATTGTGTATGCTCTCAACATGTAACAGAAACCAATGGTAGGAATTGTGTAACCTTATATACGTAGTACATGCCCATTTTTACAATGTTGAAAATCAAATCAAATCAAATCAAATCAAATTTTATTGGTCACATGCGCCGAATACAACAGGTGCAGACATTACAGTGAAATGCTTACTTACAGCCCTTAACCAACAGTGCATTTATTTTAAACAAAAAAGTAAGAATAAAACAACAACAAAAAAAGTGTTGAGAAAAAAAGAGCAGAAGTAAAAAATAAAGTGACAGTAGGGAGGCTATATATACAATAGAATAAAGTGACAGTAGGGAGGCTATATATACAGGGGGGTACTGTATGATGTCGAAATGATGTGGCCACAATGTAAAGATACACAAATAACAATTTCATCCATGTATAAAGGCTTATACTAGAAAGTGGTACCTTCTGAGCATTAGATTATTTGTTACATGTAAGCTAGGCCCAATTCCACAGGTGTACCATGTAACCTACTGTGTTAATTTGATATTAAATACATCAAATTAACATGCAACACAGCTGCAGGACAAGGCTGCAATGACACTAGTCCTGTTAAACGGTGTGTGGTGCAACAGTTTTGTGTGTTTACGTGATGTAGGTACACTCATGTCCTCCCATGAGGGGTGGCTCTCTGTATCCTCACTCCCCTGACAGGGACACTGGGTGTGGGGAGAGGCTGTAGCCTCGGTGGGTATTACCCATGGAACATTCCCTGGGCCTAATGTATGTCTCAGTTGGATTCTCTGTGATACAAAAACAAAAAGCCCAGAAAACTGAACAGAGGGAGCTCAGCAGAAATCCTGTGGCACAGCTGAGCTATGAGTTAGAAATACCATAATAAGCGATCTCTGCTCACTTCTCTCTCCTAAACCCCAGGTAAGCATGGAGTCATTCAGCTCCAAGGATATGGCCATGCAGGCCCAGAAGAAGATCCTCAGCCACATGGCCAACAAGTCCATGGTTCATATGTTCATAGACGACACCAGCAGTGAGATCCTGGACGAGCTCTACCGCGTTTCCAAAGAGTATTCAGGCAACCGCTCCGAGGCCCAGAAGGTGGTGAAGGACCTGATCAAGATAGCAGTGAAGATCGGCGTGCTGTTCAGACACAACCGTTTTAGCCCAGAGGAGCTGAGTCTGGCCCAGGACTTCAAGAAGAAGCTGCATCAAGGAGCCATGACAGCCATCAGCTTCTGTGAGGTAAACATGCCGGCACCTTGTATAACAGTATCATGTTACAGTGAGTTAATCGATCATATACCTCTATGTATTAACGGCCCATTAGTTTCTATGAAAACAGATAAAAGAGGATGACAACATAATAACAACATTGTCATCATATCTCTATTTCCCACTTCTTCTTGTTCAGGTGGAGTTCACCTTTGACAAAACAGTAATGTCGGAGATCCTGACAGGATGCAGAGATCTGCTGTTGAAGCTAGTTGACTCCCACCTCACGCCCAAATCCCATGGTCGCATTAACCACGTATTCAACCATTACGCCGATCCCGAGCTTCTGACCCAGCTGTACAACCCTGACGGACCCTTGAAACCAAACCTCACCAAAATCTGCACCGGCCTCAACCATCTGCTGGAGGAGGGGACGTTATGAGTGTGAGCAAGTCTATGATTGTGAGAGAGACACTGGGATATCTGCTTGGAGGGGTCTACTTAGAACTCAAGAGAGGACTGTGTGCAAGGACAGGAAGTGACCATGCTCTAAATCAGAACTGGCGAGATTTGTGACCCAAGTTTTACTTGATGTAGTCACTCACTGATCTGTTATTTTCCAAAAGGGTACTCCACAAAGTGAAACAATATGAGAATATGCAGGATGATGTAAAGTTAATGTCTCCTGTTGAATTGTGTCTCAAAGGATGGAGTTCCTGGAAAGTCAGGATTAGGCTAAGATTGTGTCAAACCACCTGATTTTTATACAGTGGAATTTCCATCCAAGGTTTCACATACTCATTTACTACTCTTCCAGTTTTTCTGCTGTTTTTTTCTCTCTCTTAAGTTCCATATTATGTACTGTATAGGGAAAGAGAAACCTCAAGGATTTCACAATACTGTCTGACAGAATGGAAACAAGGGTTAAAAGCAAGAGGTGAAATATAAGAATATAAGAATAGAGTACTACCATCTAGTGGTCTAGCTGGCAATGACTCAGTACTGCACGTATCAATGAAAAAGGAAAAGCATATTTACAAAAACAGTGAACATCTACTGGAGATACAAGACAGTCATTTTATAAGACCCAAAGAGAAACTGTATTGGAATATTTAAGAACTGGCTCTAAAATAATTCAGTCTTATTTGGGCCTTGTACATCATAGGATTGGAAAAAAATAAAAATGCCTGGAGCCTTTTCTTTATGGTCTATTTGTGAATATATTGACTTTACATCTTTAGTTAGTGTTATTAAATGTACAATATGTGCAATTTATCAACACATTAACAACAATGTGATACATACACTACCAGTCAAAGGTTTGGACACACCTACTCATTCAAGGGGTTTTTATTTTATTTTTACATTGTAGAATAATAGTGAAGACATCAAAACTATGAAATAACACATGTAATAATGTAGTAACCAAAAAAGTGTTAAACAAATCAAAATATATTTTATATTTGAGATTCTTCAAATAGCCACCATTTGCCTTGTCGACAGCTTTAAACACTCTTGGCATTCTCTCAACCAGCTTCATGAGGTAGTCACCTGGAATGCATTTCAATTAAAAGGTGTGCCTTCTTAAAAGTTAATTTGTGGAATTTATTTCCTTAATGCGTTTGAGCCAATCAGTTGTGTTGTGACAAGGTAGGGGGGGTATACAGAAGATAGCCCTATTTGGTAAAAGACCAAGTCCATTTATGTCAACAACCGCTCAAATAAGCAAAGAGAAACGACAGTCCATCATTACTTTAAGACATGAAGGTCAGTCAATACGTTAAATTAAGAACTTTGAAAGTTTCTTCAAGTGCAGTCGCAAAAACCATCAAGCGCTATGATGAAACTGGCTCTCATGAGAACCGCCACAGGAATGGAAGACCCAGAGTTACCTCTGCTGCAGAGGATAGGTTCATTAGTTACCAGCCTCAGAAATTGCAGCCCAAATAAATGCTTCACAGAGTTCAAGTCACAGACACATCTCAGCATCAACTGTTCAGAGGGGACAGTGTGAATCAGGCCTTCATGGTCGAATTGCTACAAAGAAACCACTACTAAAGGACACCAATAAGAAGAAGAGACCTGCTTGGGCCAAGAAACACGAGAAATGGACATTAGACCGGTGGAAATTTGTTCTTTGGTCTGGAGTCCAAATTTGAGATTTTTGGTTCCAACCACTGTGTCTTTGTGAGACTTGGTGTGGGTGAACGGATGATCTCTGCATGTGTATTTCCCACCGTAAAGCATGGAGGAGGTGTTATGGTGTGGGGGTGCTTTGCTGGTGACACTGTCTGTGATATATTTAGAATTCAAGGCACACTTAACTGGCATGGCTACCACAGCATTCTGCAGCGATACGCCATCCCATCTGGTTTGGGCTTAGTGGGACTATCATTTGTTTTTCAACAGGACAATGACCCAACAAACCTCCAGGCTGTGTAAGGGCTATTTTACCAATAAGGAGAGTGATGGAGTGCTGCATCAGATGACCTGGCCTCCACAATCCCCCGACCTCAAACCAATTGAGATGGTTTGGGATGAGTCGGACGGCAGAGTGAAGGAAAAGCAGCCAACAAGTGCTCAGCATATGTGGGAAACTCCTTCAAGACTGTTGGAAAAGCATTCCAGGTGAAGCTGGTTGAGAGAATGCCAAGAGTGTGCAAAGCTGTCATCAAGGCAAAGGGTGGCTATTTGAAGAATCTCAAATATAAAATATATTTTGATTTGTTTAACACTCTTTTGGTAACTACATGATTTCATAGGTGTTATTTCATAGTTTTGATGTCTTCACTATTATTCTACAATGTAGAAAATAGTAAAAATAAATAAAAACCCTTGAATGAGTAGGTGTGTCCAAACTTTGGACTGGTACTGTAGGTAGTGGGCAAAATGGAAATACCTGGGTAAAATAGGGACAAAACTAGTGAACCAACAGTAACATCACATATCAAAACAAGTAACCAGGCCAGATGTTTCTGAAATAACTATGGCAAAATAAATTGTATCTTGTATGTCGCAACTACACCTATGGATTTATTTAAACAGCAGAAAAGTTTACAGTGTGAAACAAAAAGGAAACTATACCAGAGGAATATCGTTTTGCCTTTCCCTAGAAATAGCAAGGAGATACAACAAGTTCCTCACTATGATTGAGTATGGCCAATTTGGTACTGTAACAATACATCCATAAATTAAATTAAATACCAAGGCAACCTTACCACTGACTACAACCTAGTGCCAAGATCAGATAAAGAAAGTGCAATGCTCAGCATTCTTCTAAAAATAAATATGTACATCATTGCATAATTGTCACAAACACCCGATGAAGACTAGGCTATGCCAACTCACATTGGCTTCAATAATAAATAAAAAATGTATAGTCAACTTCTATTGGTTCTCCAAGACTTGCATATTTCTCACATTTCTGACATTGCATAAGACACTACGAGGTAGGATAACTCACATGATCTAGCGCCTGTCGCCAAACATAAATACATTTAAAGGCGCATAACTTGGAGAGTTACATGATCACACTAACATACAAACACAACTCAACAAAGTACCACATTCTGACTCTCATTTTCTGTAGTAAACAGACAACCAGACAGTGCTGTTCTGGACATGGCAAATATATAATATGTAATCAATGTACTACAACTTTAAATAACTTGGTAATAGTTAATTACTTGCTTAATAAGAAGTCTTCTTATATGTCCAAATGAAACTCATCCTCCCAGCAAAAAACAATTATATCAACAGTGCTAAGGACCAACTTTCAAGTACCTAGTCCATAGAGCAGCAGGTTACTCATCAGTGAAAATCAGAACTCTCCTAAATCTGTAATGCCAGATTAGCTTGGAGGTCAATCCCTTTGACTTTTGCATTAGTACATGTGTCCCATGATCTGCCTGACAGAGGCAATTAAATCACAACTCAAAGATCTCATCCTCTCTTTCTCTCAGTTTCTTGGTGCATTTGGTGATGGTGAGGGCACTGCCCCAAGTATGGCTTGCTGATGCATTCTGGGAGAGGAAGGTGACCGTGACACTGTTTGACCTCGTAAATCGACGGTCTGTTGTCTTGCTGGTACAAGCTGCTTCCAAAGATGTCAATCTGTGAAGGAAAACCCAAACAGGTGAAATAAACATAAGCTTGACTAAATCAAGCATTATATGAAGAGTTAAGCACATAATACAGTGTTTCCCAAACTATGGGGTCGCGAGAAACTTAAATACATTTGTTTTAAATTGCGTTTGGTTTATAGAACCGGGGTTACGTCAGTAACCTCCAGTTGCCGCTAGATTCGGTTGCAATAAACAGATCGGTTTCTGTTTGCTTCCTACAAATTTGGCTCCATCTTTTGAACCGTTTAAGCTACAAAATATTATGACCCCATCACTCAAAGATAAGGCTTTGTTTCCCTCTACAATGCCCACAAAGCCGCAGAGGAATCATTAAAAGAGTGGAAAAGACCAGGAACTAAATCAGACTTTTTTTAAACAGAATATCATACAAAATATTGCTTGATGATCTTCTGAACTTCCCTATACCCTTCTGTTGCATTTCTGTCACTTCAAACCATACTTCCTTCAGATTGAAATACTGTCAAAAGTACTTTCAGACTGATTTGTAATAGACTGTCTTAGCCCCAATTTAAATTAGTAAACATTGGCCGTTTATTACATACATTTTTTTACATGGTGGGGTGGCGCAATTTTTTTATATCAAAATGGGGTTGCGGGCCAAAAAGGTTTGGGAACCTGACATAATGACATGCCATTGATGTCATTTACATTTACGTCATTTAGCAGACGCTCTTATCCAGAGCGACTTACAAATTGGTGCATTCACCTTATAGCCAGTGGGATAACCACTTTCCAATATGTATTTTTTATTTTTATTTTTATTTTATTTTTTTGGGGGGTGGGGTAAGGGGGGGTATGTCATGACATCATCACATTGACACCCTACTCCTTTAAATTGATATTAGCATTTCATCAAAGTTAAAGCTGCAATATGTAACTTTTTGGTGACCCGACCAAATTCACATAGAAATGTGTGTTATAGATCTGTCATTCTCGTTTAAAGCAGTGTCTAAGAAGCGGTAGATCTGTTCTATGTGAGCAATTGTATTATATTTTTTTAGCTTTATTTAACTTGGCAAGTCAGTTAAGAACAAATTCTTATTTACAATGATGGACTACCAAAAGGCAAAAGGCCTCCTGCGGGGAAGTGGGCTGGGATTTAAAAAAAATAATATATATATATATATATATATATATATATTAGATGGTACAATAATTCTCCACACTATACTTGCTTGCTTGTTTCGTCACAAACTGAAATTAGGCAAACTATTAGATTCTTTGCAACCAGAAAATGGCGGAGCGATTTCTGCATAGACTGGCCACTAGATCATGACAGGTCAGAATCGTACGGTATGACTTTATCTGGGTTTATTTACCGTTTCTCTCCCTCTTGGCATCTTTTCACAGCTGCTTGCTTGGACTGGCTGATCATACCATCCATCCTTTTCAAGAAATCCATTGGAGAAAGTTCTGATGTGATTTCTTCTTGTGTCTTTTCAGAGTTGTTCACTGGCTTCCCATTTTGAGTAGAGCCTTCTTTACTTGTATTGTCCTGTACCTGGCCTGAGTCCTCCTCAGTCACATCTACCCCATTATTAACATCACTGTAGTCGTCTGACAGCACAGGGATAGAAAGAGACTTCTTTAGGAATATTGAGTCATTCGTGTACAGTCTATTTGCTCTTTTGATTTGTTCCATCTGTTAAAAAGAGAAAATTGCAGACGATGTGGGTTTATGAAGGTAAAGAAAGTGATCACCATAGCATAAGCCTACAAATTGCCCATTTTGAGTTGTCATGCAGTAGAAAACTCCTTCTTGATAGGCTGGCTGCTGGGCCAACATTTCAAATACTCAAACATTTTGGAAGAATGGCAATGCCAATGTATAGCTACTCACAGATACTCCATATTTCAACGCGAGTCCTTGCAACGTCTCTCCTGGTTGAACTTGGTGTTGAATTCGTCTTTGTCGTACCGGAGAAAGGTTGGATTGTACAAGACTGCCGTATGACCTCGTGCGGTTACCGCGGAGCAGACCGCCTCCACAGGTTGGAAGAGGAGCCCGTTCCCCGTGGAACATGGTGGAGCTTGTAACTGGTAAACTAACGTTAGCTAGCTAGTGATCTAATCCCTCTGTCTTGACTTGCAAAGTTAGCATTAACGTTAGCTAGCGTAAGCCAGCTCACGTAACTGGCTAGTTAGTTTGCTAGCTAGCTAAACTACCCCCATGCGATTATACAGCTAGAAAACCAAGTTATTGGAGGGAGGTGCTAGCTAGCTAATAACATGAGTTTTAAATTGCATGTAGCTTGTTAACATTATATCTTTGACTAGCTAGCTAGTTAGCTTCTAAACAAAAACAAAAAAACTTGCCAGAGAAAATATTTATTCAGTCAGCTGTCAGTTTCCATTGCTGCGGTGGTATGACCAACTCCCATAATTCCTCACTAAAAGCAGGAAGTAACCAGATTACAAACGGTTTTGAAGATGTTTGCAAGGAAGTAGCTAGCTAGCTATTCGCAAATAAAGACCTTAAACTACCAAATATATTTAGCTAAACCTATTAACCTAAATGTCGTTTAAAAGAGAGGGCAATGATCAGAGTCAATTGAATATCCTCAAGGTAAGCCATCTTACTATTTGTTGCTTACACAGAAATCAATCAGCTTGTGACAACACATAACTGCTACTAACGTTAGCTAGCTCGGGCACGTTTGGTATTTGAACTATTAGCTAGCTAACTCAATATTTAGCTAGTTAGTTAGCTAATTTATTATTTTCCAGAAACGGCGTGTTGCAGATCTCCTGTCCAATTTCATTCCAGAGGATGAGGCAGCCTTGATGAAAAATGGAAGGTGAAGTACCGGCATCATTGCTTCAACTGGAAAGAATCCTTACCCAGATCTTACTGTTGTTTTTATTTGGCAGAGCAAGCACTTCTCATGAGCATCTGTATTTTTCCTAATTCCCTTTCAGATACACCTGCCTTGTGTGTTCATACCGCCCTGTTTTTGATACAGTTGACATGCTGACAGTACACAGAAAGGGGAAAAGACATCTCGAAGGTGGTACATATGAATGATCAATTATTTTCCCTAGCTGGAAGCTATATCAAAACCATCTGTGAAGGCTGAATATGCCTACACTAATCCTTTCTTTGCCAGGGATGAAGTGGTTTTATGGAAAGAAAACTCAACTGAAAAATGAGATATCTAAACGACAACATGAAAACTATATTCAAGCTGAAGATAGCTAGTTATATAGCTTTACCTGGCGGCTAAGTTATTCAGTGAAATATATTGTCTTTGTAAACCTGAGGCTTTAGACTGTAGTGTAAACTAGTGTTTACTATGCGTCATGTTTTTTTTTGTTTTCACCATAGGAGCCCTCTAGTTCTGCCCCCCTGTTGACACAGACACGTAAACTCACCCACCATGCCTTACTGAAGACTGTGCCATACAACAGTTGTCACAAAAACACAAGGTACTCTATGCTGAAAGTTATATGTTAATGAGAGCTGTTGTGAGTAGTACCATGCACATTATTACAATCACATTTTCATAGACTCTTTTGAAATGTATTTCCAGTACAAAGTCTGAAAAAGGGTCAACTAGTTCCATTCCAGACTGTGACATTAGCCCCTCCAGCACAAGAATATCATCACCACATCAAACATCAGTGGAGACGATAAGAGATACAGACATCATGTCATTACCCAGTTCCAACAGTAATATAGCAGGTAAAGTCTAGATTTATTATAAATAACATATCATGTTACAAATCTATAATGATTGGTCTCCCCTCTAACCCTGTTTTTCAATGCTGTTCATCCTCACTAGTCAATCAGGGATCGTGTCCAATCGGGAGAAATAAGGAAGTGTGTAAGGAGTCTCATCCAATGGCAACCCAGGAGTCGGAACCTATGACAGCTCAAAGGAGGAGAGAGATGGAGCATTACCTCAAATTGAAAAGGTACTTATCTAGAAAGTCTTGACTCTCATTCAACGTCACTGCTAATCGGCATTTGTCAGTCGATTCCAATTTCCCACTGGCTTTATGCATATTTTAATTGTTGTTTTGAATAGTTTATTAAACTTGCCTTTCCCCATGTGAACATTAGCAGGATAGTGTGACATTGTCATTCACTTGAGTCGTTTTTCAAATGTGAAGGCTGCAGTTCTGTATGTTCACCACCAGAGGTCAGTATGCCATCTTAACTTTTCTACCACCTCACTCTTTCACTTTCTGCCTCAGTGCGGGATGGCTGCAGGACAGGAGTGGCCAGTGGGTAAAGGATGAGAATGTGGAGTTTGATTCAGATTAAGAGGAACCCTCATCACTCCCATCCTCTCCCCACAGTGACTCAACACCACCACCTTAACACAATCCCTAGCCCTTTCCTAAAAACCCTGCCACTGACTCTAAGGTCCCATTTGGACATACATCTGTTGACTCAACAGTTGTTATGAATGGCACTCTGTTGCGGTAATGACAACACTATAAGAGCAGCACTAGATCATCTTGAACTGCCTCCATGCTTCCTTTGTTTACCTCTCTCAGGGAAGATGCATTGGTGCTTGAGACAATGCTTTGACTGTTGTCACCTAGAGAGAGGGGTGGGAAGGGAGACGATTCCCAGCACCCTTTGTGTTATTCTGTTTGCCCATTTTTTTAGGTCCAACACCTCCCCTGTTAAGGCTAAGCTTCTGTGAGCTTACCATAAAACAGCAGATAGGGCAATATTAATGCTAATCTTGGTAGTGGAGCCACTGGTTAACATTCTTCAGAAGGTTCTCATTTGTGGCTCCCCCCTAGACCACTCTGTATAAATTGGATAACCCCCCACTCCCTAGAGAAAGGTAGCATGTGGACTTAATGTGGGTTAGTTTTAAATGATGACGTTAAAGTGTGGCAAAAACGGAGTACCTGATTGTTATTTTTGAGTTCAGTGCGTGACTGCCACAAGACGTTTGGAATGTTTGTTGACAGTTGAGCTCTTATGTCGATGCAGTCTTATGTGTCATCAAGAGTGATGATATTATGGAGTGAAATTGTCAATGCAATAAATCATGTTGATTCTATCAGGTTTCTTGTACTATGAGATGACTAAACAAAACATAATTGTCCTCCACTGCTAACTAGCCACAATGTTCAATGTCTGTTTGAATAACCCAAATACAAGGGAACAAATAAGGCACAGCTTAACTTAGCAGGTCATTAATACTGTATACTAGGTCAGTCACTAAATACCTTGCATGATATCCTACATAACTATCTATAAATACACATGCATTTTACTGTGGCTGAATGATCAAAGGGGAATAAATAACCCCAGGAATAGCATCTGATATGGCAACACTGACCTTAAATCATTACAAGCCTGGTACCTGTGCCAAATGTCACTGGCTGTAGCCAGTTCCACTGCAATCAAGGTTTCTAAACCTGTCTCCCATTTATTCAAAACCTGCTAGGTGACATTTCTTTACAAGAAATTCTAAAGGTTGCTTATATTGAGAATGACATTCAAAACGCATTGCTTAATACAGGTATAAAATGACTGTGTGCATGGAGCCACTCCAATGCTGTGAAAATCCTCAGAGGTTAACAGCTGTTTGGTGAGGGTTCATGGATCTCCTTGGGTGCATATGGGTGGCCCCTCCCCTTCAGACCCTTTAGAAGTTGGTATATTCTGGGCAGGGTAACTCAAGCCCAGAGGACTAGGTTACATTCCCAATGGAGGGGGATCAAAATAGGTCGGGGTTGGGGGATACAGCGGGCTCAAGGAGGGATTGAATAGTTCCGATTCTCAAGATCTCGGAGCAAATAGTGTACTCTTGTATCTGCTTGCATTTTGTACCTTGTGTCAGCTCAGAACTTTGAACCATGGAAATTATGAATGTTGAATATTATGTATGTTGACATGATGTGATGAAATGGCAAAAATATCACATTCAGCCCATTAAGACAATTCATTATTTAAATGTTTTATTTAAAGTATTTACAGATTCTTTTCCTAGATATAGCACCACCACCATGTAGGAGTTCAGTCATTTTCTGAGTATGTTTTCATGGTGTACTCTAGAAGCATAAACAACACTTCACAATGATGTGACCTATGTATGCTTTTATGATGAATTCAATGGTCTATAAAAAGCTGTTAGTGGTTAATGAAATGAAATGCTTGGACACAGACATAGAAATGATCACCCGTCCTTGTGAGGAGGCACAGCGGGGTTGTAAGGGTTTGTTGTGCCCAATTGACAAAGCTAGCGCAAAGCTGTCAATGGCAGTCTTTAGAGTTGTTGGATCCAATGGGCTGAATTGATAGACTAGCGACTTGAGAGCACAATCTTGTTGCTCCACTCTTGTCTCATCTTACTCTCTGTTGACGAACTGGATGGAGAAAGAAAAGGAACAATATGAGTCAGCCAGAGTACATTATCAATGCTCATCCGAAAGCTGAAATTCCTCAGTAACAGGTTAGCACATGCACCTAAACGTTAACTGTAAATAGCTCATCTGTCAAGTCTTATGTCAGAATTATAGTCACTTTCTGAGGGTATTATGACAGCCTCTTCACGAAAACCCTAACAGGAAGAATGTTAAGTGCTTTAAAATTGACCATGTCAATCGAAGCACAACTGAAATACAATAATTGACAGTACGCATGCATTCTCCAGACACTCACTCATGTCGTTGTTCCTGGTGATGGCGATGGCTGCTCTAGCACGAGGCCCCTGCTGGGTGAAGTGGTAGCCGATCTTCACGATGCTGGAGTTGTTCTCCAACATGGTGGCAATCTCCATCTCACAGGAGTCCCCCAGTTTCTGTCTCTATTGGAGGAGGGTGGGTTAAAGGATGAAAAGGAATTAAATAACCCCATAACCACACAATCAAATCACAGCATTGTCTTGTTATAAGTTTATCATAGTTTTTTCTCTTTCCAATGTCTTTTCATGTCTCTTGAGGAACTCATATAAGGAATTAGTTTTATATTCAGTTGTTTATACAGCATACATACAGTATGTAGCACTATTCAAATGTATATATTCATTCTACAGCATACTTTCTGTATGGGTGTCTGACCTGGTTGTCGATCTTGATCTCGGTCAGTGTGGTGTTGTTGGCCATGGCCTTGACGATGGCATTCATGCCCTCGCAGGTGATGAAGTTGGACTCGATGTTAAGACTCTGCAGAGTGGTGTTCTCCTGGAGCATCTCGGCAACAGACTGGTTAACACACACACACACACACACGTATGTTACTAGAGTCACATTCATTAGTAACAGGTGAAAATTACAATAAGGATGTAAAAATGAGGATTCTTTATGTCTAGTCTGGGGGAGAAGGACGTACTCACATAGGCCACAGGGTCATTGCTACGGGTAGCAGCAATGCTCAGAGACTCCACGTGAGTGTTGCCCTTCATTGCCTCAAAGATCTCTTTCAGCGTTGGGATGGGAATGTCCTACAGGACAGACAGACGGACGTCAATCACTTTAAGGTGATTCAGTACACCATATTACATGAGGCTACACTCTTCCATCAAGTGATCTAATCCTCCATTGTAGAATTGGTCACTGTGTACATTCAGACCATAGGATCTAAAGCCAACTGGCTTCACCTTGATGTTGTTGAGGTTGACTTCAAACAGGCTGCTGTCGTTTTCCTGGATCTGCTGAAGGGTCTCCTCCACGTTTGTGGGGTTGGGGGGCTCGTCTGGGAAGATCTTGAATGCATCTGGTTTTACTACGCCTAAAAGCACAGAGTATCACAGGTTAGTGTAAGAATTTCCTAAACATGTAATATACTGAATACCGTAGTAGGCATGTTCTGCTCTGCTGGTCAACCTCTTCATACGTACTGTTGATGCCCTCTGTGTTGGCGATGGTACCAGTGGTGCCCAAGGCATCGTAGTACTGCTTGTTGCTCATCAGTGTGTACATTCCCAGAATAGCTGCAAAGAGATGGAACTGATTGATAAGATATCTGTAACTCTCATTCATCATCCAGTAATATTTCCTCATTTCAACATAATGAATGGTAGCTGTCAGCTGAGACCTTTAGCATGTTATTGTCCCAGTAAGTAATCACAAGGCCTTCATTATAACTAAACCGAGAGTGTATGTGAGTGCAATTATTTATGAGGGCTTTGTTTTGACAGGCAGGTCTCCCAATCCCAATTATACTCTACATATCTTCACGTAGAGAGGTCTATCTATTTCAACAACTGAATTGTACATTTACAGCATACACCCAACACTGTATCATAAGAATACTAGGTACAGTATTTACCATGTTATACACGAGCCTACTCGGTCTGTCTGCTTGACCAGATAAGGACATTATAGCCTTTCCTCAGTTCTTACAGAGAGAGCTGCAGTCACTGTCTCTAATCTCAGTGCCTCCAGGCCCTAAGGACGTTATGACACCAAACATTTATGCGAGCCATGTAGACACACCAAGCCCAATGTTATTCTAACTGAGAATGGGCCAACACAATTAATGGTTATTCGTCCCCTCAATTAGATGCATATATAGACATAGAGGCCATTGTATTGTTCAGTTTGACACCATGCCCTGGGGACGAGTACTTTGAATTACCAAATATGCTTGTGAGTTAGCTCAGCTAAGCACTGCTAATTTTACAAGATGGGACATAGGACGTAGAACAATAGGCTCCTTAAAATATAGGACTGGAGCTGCTGTTGCTTTGCTCAAATCCCCAGTAGAGGGCAGCACTTTGAATGCCTCTCTCCCAGTCTCATTAGAGACGGCCCCTCGCCACCAAACTGTGTCACACACCAACTGCTGTGACAGCAAACCCCCACCAGCCCCCCGCTCCCAGGCTCCGACCTGGGGCAAACTGGGAGTTATGGGAGGGAAGGCCTTGTGAGGAGAGAGGAATCCAGAGACAGCTGGTCTGGTGCAAAATGCGCCAATGTCACCTGGCTTGACTCTACAGTAGCTTTGCAGTACAACCCAGCCTCTCAATAATAATAACAATTCCCAAAATGCCATCAGTATTATTAAGAGTGAATAAAAAGCATCAATTAAATCTCTACTGACTGAGGTCCCTCCCTCCCTTGCTGCTGGTGGAGCCGGCTAGGCAGCAATGCTATTGTGGACTCAGATCCAGCCCCAAACAAAAGAGTGACAGAGGCTAACGAAGGTTTAATCCTCATCTGGACTCCCTCCAGGGTCAAAACTGTGTTCTCAATGAGGGAGTTAATGACAGGCTAATCTATGTGGGCACACAGTTCCACTCCCCAAACTCCCCCACTGGCACTTTTCAGACGCCTATGCCTTGTGGCTATGACTCTGCCATTAAAGCAGTTAGGAGGCCTGCCCCTCGGACTGAGGCAGGCCTGGCTCCCCTGCACAGTGGGTGGATACGGATAGGGGGATTTAACTATTGTGCTAAACAGTGGTTGTTCTGGGCCATCCTCTGAATGATATATGCATGATTTATATGTTGCCAATGGTGTTATGGTCTCATAATGTTGTGTAGCTCAAAAGAGGCTGAGACGTGAATTCTCATCGAATGAGATATAATTTGGAAACAAAAAATATGCTGTGTGTTTTTTGGGTGAAAATCACCCATATCAAATTGAACCATAAATAACTTTGTTGTTTTGAAAACAATGGCAGAGAGCACATTTTGCAGATGCAGTAAATTATTAAGTGTGAGGGTAAAAACAACTAACAAATTGGGTTGGTACTGTAAGTGTTGACCGAATGAGACCAAAATATATTTGGAACGCATGTTCAAGCTGCAATGAACTCATTTGACATTAATTCTACATCTCAATTGGGGTAAACATGAAAAAAATGAAAACATGTTGATTCAATTAATTAAGTTTAAAACAAGGTTGCCTCTTGTTTGGTGTAAATTGATATAGTATCTTTACCCAACAGACAAGTATTTCACTCCCTCCCCCATCCCTCTTTTCACTCCTCCCTTCTTTTGGTGACTCTTGGCCAGCTTATTTTCATGTTGCTGCTGAGCGCAGGGAATTGGAGCCCCCCCCCACCATGCCATGTCCCACATCCTCTGCATGTCTGTATGTGTTGGAGTGGGTCTGTGATGCACTAGAACAATAATATTATGGATCAATGAGCAATGGAATAATATGGGCCTATGACAAAATAATAAAATGGGCAAGGGTCACTGTAAACAATTGGGTCACAATACATAGGGGCAGCCCCAGGCATTTGAAAAATGTCACGTTTTTGCTGTGAGCCAATGGGGTAACCAAGTTAACCATGGTCTGTTTTCCCCCAAGGCGAGCGGGGCCACAAAGTTCTATCTAATACCGACTGGGAGTATTGGGCAACATCACATTGAAACAATGTAAAGACGGAGAGGGAAAGGGCGGCAGGTAGCCTAGCGGTTGGCCAGGTTACTGAAAGGTTGCTGGTTTGAGTCCCCAAGCCGACTAGGGTCAAAATCTGTTGATGTGCCCTTGAGCAAGGCACTTAACCCTAATTGCTCCTGTAAGTCGCTCTGGATAAAAGCGTCTGCTAAATGACAAAAATTTAAATTGATAGGTTCTCACCTGCGATGTCACACATTTCAGCATCTGTGGCATTCTTCAGAGCCTCCTCCAGCTCAGGCTCCAGGGTTATCTGCTCATGGTCGGGGATCTTTCCATGGCCCTCCTTAGGAACAAACGCTCTCCCTGGAGAGGGACAGAGAGAGAGAGAAGGAGAGAGAGAGAGAATGAGAGAGAAAGACACATACAGAGGGACTGTCAGGGCAACTAGTATCCAAGGGGTCATGAGCAGACTGTAAACAAACTGTACCTATAGCACACATGTTTTTTTGGTACAGTCGAGGGGAAAACCTTTGTTCTCTCAGTATGTATCTTGTATCATATAACATTCTTTGAGATTATAAAGAATTACATGATTGTAATATGCCCCTTACAGTGGATTTGTCTTTGTTTTGGGGGAAAACATTTTTGGGATTGTTTCTGAAAACACTAAGAAAGCCCTGGTTTATATGGGCTTTGAATAAACTCCAATAAACTACATGTTCTATTGTATAACTGTATGCATCTCAATGCCATATCAATGTTAAACAAACCACTAAAATTACACTTTTAAGTCAATCACTTATCATTACTGATTTTTAAAGTTCAAAGCATTGGATTGTTTTTCAGTTTAAAGCAGTGGTCGGGCCCAAAAGCCACTCATTTAAGAGCCACCCCGGTGCAGTGTGGGGTAGTGTAGTCTATAGTGTTGTGCAGTAGTCTAGTGTACCGTACCTTTCTTCTCGCCTGTAAAGGGCACCAGGTCGTCTCTGTCCTCGTGCTCCAGAGCTGTTTTCTCTAAGTGATCCAGCAGGGCGTCACGGTCAAACGCCCCCGTTGGGCTCTTCTTGGTCTGGTCACGCTGGCGGTACCCGGCTGGCAGGATGGCATTCTGGGACAGAAACAGTAGGGGTCAGAGGGCATGTGGACATTGTACAAAGATTGTACAAAGAGTTCTGAATCCTCTGGTGTTCTAGTAACTGGTTGTGTGAGACTGGTTTTTGAGATGTTGGAAAATGGATTTATAAGATTTATAACTACAGTATAAAGCTACGTAATCCCCAGGAAATTCCTAAGTAAGTCTTACAATGTCAAAGAACAAGATAACATGAGAAGGGGGAATTATGTTATTGGCAGTGCCTCAGTTGTGTTGGTGTTCTGTGTGTATCAGTGAATCTCTTGTGTTAGGTACGCCAGGATTGTGGGTTCGGTTCCCGGGGCCACCCACACGTAAAATGTATGCATGTATGACTGTAAGTCGCTTTAGATTGAAAGTGTCTGCTAAATGGCATATTCTTATTTTTATAATTTATTATTCTTATTATTATTATTATTATTATTATACTATGAGCCTTGTGCATCCCTCAGTCTTTGAGTCTGGAGTTATCTTTCTACAATTAACTCCCTTATTTGCCACCAGGGGCCCTCTGGGGCCCTCAGTACCTCGGGGTCCATCTCCAGCAGCTCATACTCCAGCGCATCTATCTCCTCAGGGCTCATCCCTTTGAGGATGGCATCCTCGTCGATGTCCCGGGGGTCGCTTTTCGACATGTCTACAGGCTGACTGGGCTCCTAGCTAGGGTCACAAACACACCACACACCCCTGGGGTAGAGCAGGGCGCTGTCTGTGGGGAGAGGAGAGAGAAAGGAGAGGATGCACTTGGGATACAGATTGGACAGATCTTGACAGATTGGGCACACTATGGCCGCTTAGATAATATTAGCAACGGATACTATGTTTTGGTGTCCTGTTAGGACTAGCCAGTGTGACAGAACCTGGGTAGCTAGGACTTAAGCACACCAACTATTTTCATGTACTGTCTTGTGAGCAACTTATGATCTCCATTGAGTATATTGTTGGCAGTCCATTTTCCCTGTGTTGCCTCTATGAGGGGATGATGGTAATAATAACTATTTCCAGTGATCAACACACATTTCCCTGGAGAACCCTGTGGTCCACATGAATGCACAAATAAGCACTGCCACAACGCACAAACACCGCCACATTTGGATTGAGCACTCCTTTTTTCTCCTGAAACTGAACTGAAATGAACACACTCCTATAGAACTGAAGCTATGGATTCAAAGGGGAGAGGGAGAGAGAGACAGAGAAGAAAATAACAAGTGAAAGAGAGGGAGAGAGAGTGCAGGTTCTTTGCTATTCTTAGTTCCAATGTGGTGAGCTAGGGGTTTAGAGTTACAGAGGCGAGGATAGCGGAGCAGAGGGCTGCGTTCCCTTATTTATCACTGGCTGACACCCACTAGCGGCCCCACCCGTATTCCCTGTACACCCACCAGTGGACAGGCCCAGATAGAGGCAAAACACAGATCTGAGGTCAGTTTCAAGTGCACCCTGGAGAGTGGAGCTCAACCATGAAACAAACACAAAGCCTGGGCACTCACTGGAGGAAATACCACAACAATATCATACTGTATATACCTCTGGCAAAACAGGTGTAGGGTCAAACCCATTTACATTTTCAATTTTAAATCCACATTCCATTTCATATTGGTCTTTTTAGGAAATGCTTTCAGAATTGACCCTAATTGTTGACCCTGACCATTTATATGGTAAATCAAACACAAAAATTGACCATTATGTGAGGAACTGTAAGTCTACCATTGCTACAGAAACAGTTTGATGAGAGCTATTCAAGGGTTACTGAGAAGCTCAAGTCAGTGATTGGCAATTTAACACCCCAAGACAATAACAGAACACTTCATGCATCCATCAATAGGAAATCAATGTCATGAGTGTTGAACGAGTCCATTAGCACATGATTGTTGTGGTCTCTAGCCTTGTTCCTTTCTGCATAGGTAACAGTGGTGTGCTTTATATTCCTAGATGAAGTTACAATGTCAAACTTTATTAGAGTGGCCACACACACATTTTGTGACTTATTGCAAACACAAACCTACACACCTTGTGACTAATGAATAGACTGCATTCATGGAATGCTTAGTCTACCTGTAAATGATTATCTGGTGATGACAATACACTTTGACAGAACATCTAAAATTGGAAAGTCTTCTGAGACACACTGTGATTGTGTGTGTGTGTGTGTGTGTGTGTGTGTGTGTGTGTGTTCGTGCATGTGTGCCTGTGTGTGCGCTTGTGTGCGACCATGTCGTAATTAGTGCGTTAGAATTACAGTAAAACATACTCTTACCACAGAAATACTGTTAAGTGTGTGTATAATAACTTCAAGTGTGTGTGTTTTCGTGTGTGACGGCATGTGTCCATGTATGTTTGTGTTCAGTGGAGGGGACACCTCGTCAGCACAATGCAGCTTTATGTGTTAAGCCAATGACACAAACACTGGATCAAACAGCTGTGGAAAAATAAGGAAGTAATTATGGAGCAAACAACTGTATGTACCTTTTAGTTCACATGCCGAGAAGCATCAACATTTTGTTTGTTCTCTTGCACATTGCAGGAACAACTTGGATTTCACTGGATGCAAAAGCAGCTTTCTCCTTTTCTCATTTGTATGGACAGATGAGGACAAACTTACTCCTGAATGTAGCTCCATGAAGTTGTAACACAATAGGGCAACATCCAAACCTGTATCTCCTGATTCAACTGCACCAAAGCCCTTGAGCCCATGAGGTTTGTTTGAATAAATAGGCTGCATAAACTATCGCTCTGAGTTTTACAACGTCCTTGCCTCAGAATACAACACTACCAAGGGCAGAGGTTTTACTGTGTACAACAAGTGTTCTATCAGAAACCTTCAAAAGCCTTCTGACAAATGTGCTTGATAAGTGTTCAAGAGGCAGGATGCCATGTTTTGATTCATTGTGACATTTTAATGAGCATGTTTCATATTCAAGGAGACGTCAGACTGGAAAGTAGTGCACACACACCTGTCAATAGTATTCCCATTGGGTTTCTATGGGAACCAAACTAGTATCTGAGCGGAACAGTGTCACCTGTCAAAGCCAGTTGTCTCAGGACATTTCTTTCCAGACGGAATCTGGGTTATGCCTGGCTAAGAGATTCTCTTGGGGAAGATAGTTATTTCATCACTAAACAACATACCACTTCAAGCAGCTTTATCTTAGTTGTGGCCGCTAACCATCTAAGGAGTTGGTTAGCAAAATCCCAGCGACTTGTGCCGGTCCACGGGCCTCTGGTTTAGCCAATGAAACTTCAGGAAATTGACACCAGGCTGCACAGATAGCCAATCAGAGCACACCTGTTGAGAGGAGTGGGGACCACCAAACTGGTGCATCCCCTTACATTCATCATGGCTTTATGTTTATTTCCCATCAACTGTATGGCATGGTGTCCATGATGTCACATGCTGTTATGTTGGAGTGGCTCTCCTTTTTCCACTAGTGGCATCTGGTTCTAACAACGCTCACTCTCACTTTGTAATCTCAGCTACTTTGTGCAGGTCCACTAAAAGCTTGTGGCACCTTGGGACCAAATTAAGCATCCACAAGCTGTATGATGGTGTCAATTCCAAGTTCATGATCCTACAAAGTCCAAGTCTCTGAGAAGTACAAAGTTACAACAACTCATACAAAACAACTGTCTTGTTGTACAGTCCAAAGTAATGGTATGTACAGTGTGCAGACAAGCCACATGACTTGGGTGAAACTGGAAAGATCATTATAGAGAGGGCCCAAAGTGTCAAAGCAGTGAGTCACTCTGGTTGACAGGTCAGAAGATTTCACACTATTTGCGGGTTGACTCCTCCAGGTCTTACCACATAAGTGTACAATTCCAAATCAACCGCAGCTTAATTTTAGCTTCACAGGTCAGCTACTTCCTACAGTGTAAATCTTCCCCGGCTTGGGTTGCGGCCTTCACCCCACACAGAAGTTCCACTTGGAGGACTAAAAGCAACTTGTCTGAGAATATTTTTTACTGTCCAACATGAAAAGGTTATTGTTCCATTGAATTGTGGGGGGGAAAAGAGGCAAAGGTATCTGAAAAATGTTAATGCTCATATTTTTTTTTGGCTGAGTAAACTGCTCTCATCGACATTGTATGAACATATGTTCTTGGCTTCCATGGTATTTGCCATTCACCATAAATACATGTTTTGATGACAACACACCAATATGGACGTTTTCATAGCCTGAAAGCAAGTGAAATTGTTTTTCAAGTACAAGCAACTGTTCAGAAAAGAGTACAAACTATCTAATAGGTGGGAATATATCTTTACAGCAATACAACGACATTGTAATTCAGCTCCATGCGTCTCTAAGCTGCCGTAACTCTACATCGTTAGCCACGGTGAAGACACACATTTTGTGCCTGTTTTAAAGACTTTAGCACAAATCAGCCACAAATGGCCCCAAAGACGACTTGATTCAGCCAACACAGCTATTCAAACGTCAGGCGTTGCAGTGAAGTTAGTTGGGAGTGGGGGTGGGGGTGAGGGACACCCCCTTAAATCTACCATCCCCTGAGACAACACCACAAAACTGTAGAGCGATGGACAGCTATGAGATGACTTAACCCAAGCATACCAGCAAAAGATCTTCAATTGAGTGACAATACTTTAGCTTAGGGTTTCACTGGACTCCCATTGGAGAAACAGGAAAAAGTCTGAGCTTTCGGTCAGTCGACTTTCATCAGAGCACTGGTCTCCCATAGGAAATGCCCAACTGTCAACTGTCAAAGTCGTGGCCAAAAGAATCCAAGGCAATTAGAAGACCAACACACCAACTTCTACAGTCAAAGTGAAGTATTCAAGCAATACCAACATAAACCAATGTTGGATATTCACAAATTCGTCTCCCTAACTTTTCTGTCCCTAACAGAGTCTCTCACACACGGACACATGCACATTGGGTAAAGCTTAGCTCCAAGCAGACACAGAGAGAGAGAGAGATTAAAGAAAGGGCCATCCTCATGCCAACGGTATCCCCACAGTTGAGAGAGAAGCAGCCTCCCACCTACCTTCACAGAGTTGCAGTGCTGGAGCTCTCTACAAGGCAAAGCCTGCTGTTGGAACCCGAGAATGGACTTTCTCTTTTTTCAATCCCCCTCCCACCGGTTTTCTTTTTTCTAAACCCCCCTCCCCTCCTCTCTCTTCCACTCCCTTCTCCTATCTCCCCCTATCCTCTCCTCTCTCACTGTCCAGCCTTCTATGCTGAGACGGGGATACTGGCAGCACTTTGAGAGGTCAGCATTTTATTATTCTGGCTTTGCAAGAGTGACTGTGAATCACTGAGCAGAGTGAGAGAGAGAGAGAGAGAGCGAAAGAGAGAAAGAGGGGGGAGGGATTGAGTGATGCCCATGTGCTAATCAGTGCCTCAATTAATAGAGAGCCAACCAAGTGTAGTAGGTAACAGTGACATCTACTGGTGCTTTCTGAATCTCTGACAAAAGTTGTAACTACAGCATATCAAGTTAAGACAGTATACAGTGGTACTCTGTGGAATTCATCATTCCCATTGTACCTTTACTCAACATCTCCAGCCCAGACTCCACTTTAATAATACCACTGTGATTTGAGTATCAGAGGGGCCTCCTTGTCCAATAGGGTCATCAGATGAGTCCATGTTACTGACCAACACTGGGGTGGCCTAAACTGTGAACTTCCAGTGACCTGAAACAAACAGAACATGACATGGAGGAGAGTTCCAATGGGTTGGTTACCTAAGCGTTAGTGAACAGGTTACATGTTTGGGTTAATGCAAGTTTCACAAAGTAGCTCTAGGGGTCAGTGTTATGGTCAGTTGATATTTTTAGGAAGAGATTAAGGGACAGGATAAAGGTTTTAGGCCTGGGTTCTAATAACTGTCACTACAGTATTTATCTCTTCCCTTATGTAGATATATTCCTTGCCATCCTTTCTCTCAACTTCTTTGATTCTTTCTCTTTGTCGATGCATGTTTTCTTCACTGTGAAGAACTGTGGGCTAAGTACCAAGAACTCCACTGGGCTTATCTGTAAAATTGAATTGCGCCTCTATAAACTATATTCAGTTGGTTTTGTAGTCTTCCTTGCCAGATTCATGACGCTGCAGTACAGCAGGTTTAATATCAGGTGCATGAGCCAGTCTAACAAATGCCCACACGGTGGCAGCACATACTCAAAGTTGAGTGTGTCCTAATGATTCATGAGTTATAATAGGTCATATGGTGTTTTCCGGTCGTTTCTGGTATTTGGGGGTTGTTTCTGTTAGTATGATGTTTTCGGGTTGTATCGGGATGCTAAGATCCCAACCCAGTTCAGAAGAAAAAAAAACATACATGGCATTCTTGACATATTTGTATTGTACGTGTGTATCCCACAGCGCACATATGAACATGTTACCAGACTGCATTATTCTGTTCCTTATGATTAGTTCTCATAGTTATCTGCCTTTTTGAATGAACAATAGATACAGTATGAAAAAGGTTGGTTTACTGTTTAATTAAAATCAATCATAAATGTAGGGCACTGCCTGCTCCAAAGCTAGCTGCCATGTCTTCAAGGTGGTTTTTCCAAGCATAATCAAACAATCTGCTACCAAGATATACGTCTCATCACAGTATCGGTCTGATGTTGTTTGGCTTCAAGGTTGTTTTTTTCATTCCTCTTTGGTTTCATTTTGACGTTTTTTTGCTCATTTGAGGCTCTTTATCACACTGTTCATTCAAAATAAAACTCAACTAAACCTCATGATTTGTTTTGTTTTTGTTTGCTATATGTGTAGCCTCCCCCCCAACCAGAGAGAGAGAGAGAGAGAGAGAGACGCCCACCCACCCTCCTGGGGTATTATCAGTCAACAGGAAAGTATACTGGGTAGAATGGGGCTCTCCCTTGACGTTCAAACACCCACACCGCACCCGATCCACAGGGACCTAAGCAAATGAGGTGGCTTCTGATTTTAAAAAAAAAATGTGTATAATATTACAGAAGAAACCCCTCCAGTTTCAATAGTAACCAATGGCTTTAAGATCACTTTGAATAAGAACACTTCCTTCTCTGGAAAAGGTCATGTTAAACTGGATGTATTTTCCCCATGAATTACCGTCACACAACTACCTTCTAACTAGAAAAGAGAAGTCACATACACAGGAACGTACACACTTCCCCATTCAAGGCTGCAGAAATAGGACTGAGCTGAAAGGTTGCCAACTGTAATTCACTGTGTGGCCGACAGAGGGCCTCTTTATAGAATGAGGATGGAACATGTTGAGCCCATAACTGACAATAGGCCTTTGTCCCAAGGAATGTTCCCAGAGAGCCAGTGTAGCAGCCTACATAGAATGATCTGAGCAGTTGGGGCTGTGTTTACAGTAAACAAGCTCTGTCCTTCTTGGACTTGACTGTATGTTCCTCCATGTTTGAAGAACACCTTCACCCATAGGCTACATGGGATATAAAACCACAACACATACTGTACCATTCCAACACCACCTTATATGGATCATCTGGTACACCTACTAAGTCAGTTCAAACCTGCCTGTGTGACACCTGAAAGTATGTGCTTTGTGGTATAAGAAAATGTGTGTCTCATGTAATGGTGGCGGTGGTTTGTCTAATAAATTGTGACCACAATGTTCAACGCGTGTGTACAGTATAAGCTGTATCCTTGGTGATAGAGCAGGCAGTGTTTTGGAAAGATAGGTACATTCACGGTGGTAACTCAATTAAAGTACCAGATCATTGACTAGAGATCATGACACAGGTAGGTTCTGAATGGCATGATGGCCTCTCCCTTTGACTCATCTAAATGCCTATCGAAAGTCCAGTGACTATCAGGTACATTTTAACTACAGTATCTCATTGTAGCTCTGGGCGGTGTTCAGGGTGTAATTACATTACTGGAATGCTGTAACATAGTGTTGAGCTGAACATTTGTGTTCTGAATATTGTCAGCATAGCTGCCGAGACTCCAATTGTGTGGAGATTACCTTCAAAAGGTTATTGATATCTCAATAAATGTTTAAGTTCTGTCAAATATTTAATTTCTGTCCTTGCCCCATGATTATGATAAGATAACACCTGTCCATAGGGCCGGGTTATTGCCAAAAAATGCTGGTAGAGGCACTGGGAAACTCCTGCTGCATCCATTTTCGTTTGGTGTGTGATTCTGTGACGCGTACTGAGTATACGAAGAGGCAGGACGCAGACACAGGAATTAACAAGGTCAAGGTTTACTTAACAATAAGCAAGAGGAATAACAAAGATAAAGTAAACGACACATCACACACAATATCATCCAAAACAGTCCAGGGCTAAATAGGGGTGGTGATGAGGTGCAGGTGCGCTGGAGGTGATTAGGGTGCGTTGGGTTTCCATTCCGGTGTTGCCGAGGTGGTGCGCTCAGACCGGTGGCTCAGTAGACCGGTGAATCAGAGCGTGACAGTATCCCCCCACCCCCGGCACGCGGCTCCAGCTGCTGGACGTCACCGGCCAGGAGGACGGCCCTGAGGACAAGTGGCGACGGTGGAAGTCCCAAATTAGGTTGGGGTCCAGAACGTCCCCAGCCGGAACCCAGCTCCTCTCCTCAGGACCATACCCCTCCCAGTCCACCAGGTAATGGAGCCGTCCCCCACGGAACCTGGAGTCCAGCAGGTCCCTCACCGCACATGCCGGACTCCCGTCAATGTCCAGGGGCGGAGGAGGTGTACCCCGGGGGACGGCATCCGCCAGAGGACCAGGAACCACCGGCCTGAGGAGAGACACATGAAAAGTGGGTGAGACACAGTAGTGAGGGGGAAGGAGCAGCCGGTATGATACCTCATTTATCCACCGGAGGACCTTAAACAGCCCCACAAACCGGAGGCTCAGTTTTTTGGCTGGGCAGGCGGAGAGGGAGGTTTTTTGTGGACAGCCAGACACGATCCCCAGGCTGGAATACAGGGTCCTCACTGCGGTGGCGGTCGGCTTGGTCCTTCTGCTGACGAATGGCCCTCTGGAGATGGACATGGGCGGCGTCCCAGACCTGTCCGGCCCTGTGGAACCACTCATCGACAGCGGGTGCATCTGGCTGGGTGTCCAAGGGGCCAGGGCCAGCTGGTACCCCAGGACGCACTGTAAGGGAGTGAGCCCCGTGGAGGAGTGAACAAGGAAGTTCTGGGCATATTCTGCCCAGGGAAGAAACCTCACCCACTCACCCTGCCTGTCCTGACAGTGGCAATGAAGAAACCTCCCCAGCTCCTGGTTCATGCGCTCCACCTGCCCATTCGACTGAGGCCTATACCTGGAAGTAAAGGCTGGCCGTAGCCCCGGAACTTCTTCAGGAACGCCTTCCACACTCGGGAGGTGAATTGGGGGCCACGGTCTGAGACGATGTCCTCCGGAGGTCCATAATGCCGGAAGACCTGTTGGAACAGGACCTCAGCGACCTGGAGAGCAGAAGGAAGACCAGTTAGTGACAAGATTTGGAGAACCGATCTACAACCACCATGACTGTGGTGAAGCCGTCAGAACGTGGAAGGTTTGTGACAAAGTCTATGGACAGGTGTGACCAAGGTCTCTGAGGCACTGGGAGAGGAACTAGTTTGCCTGTCAGGTCGTTCCGAGGTGTCTTCGTTTGGGCACATACGGAACAGGAGTTGACGTAGCGGGAGACATCAGAAGCCAAAGTGGGCCACCAGTATTTTTGGGCTAGAGAATGCAGGGTGCGCGTAATACCAGAGTGCCCTGCCGTAAGGGTGGTGTGCGCCCAGATCAGCAGGCGGTCACGGACACTGTTGGGTACATACACGCGCCCCGGAGGGGCGTTGGCAGGTGCTGGGTCCTCCTGAGCCGCCAGGCGGATTTCTTCATCCACATCCCAAATGACAGGAGCAACGATGAGAGATGAGGGCAGGATAGGACCCCCCAGATCCTTCCTTTCTCCGGTATGGTGCATCTTGGAGAGTGCGTTGGCCTTCACATTCTGGGATCCTGGGCGGTAGGACAGAATGAATTGGAAGCGAGTGAGAAATTGGGCCAACCTGGCTTGACGAGAGTTCATCCGTTTCGCTGCCCGTATGTGCTCCAAATTCTGGTGGTCAGTAAGAATCCGGAATGGATGGACTGCGCCCTCCAGCCAGTGTCTCCATTCCTCCAGAGCGAGGACCACCGCCAACAGCTTCCTGTCTCCAACTCCATAGTTCCTCTCTGCGGGGGTAAGCTTTTTAGAGAAAAAGGCACAGGGATACATTTTCTCTGGCCTACCGTGCCGCTGGGAGAGGACCGCACCCACGCCCTCCTCCGATTTGTCCACCTCCAGGATGAAAGGA